TGGAAAATATAAGAGGAAATCCCTGGAAAATTAGAGGGAAAAAATTGATAAAACAAAATAAACTTTTTTTTGAAAAGAATTATTAACGTTTCTTTCTTCTTCATTTTTGATTTTTAAATTGATAATTTTAAACAGAGACGTTATTTTTTTTTTGCCAGAAGTGAATGAAAAAGCAAGACGAACAAATACTATTTACCTATTCCATTAAATTCTAAAGAAATTGAGTAGCATTGTTGATGAATCACATAGTCAAGAAGTGACATTGAGTGACATCTGTGTTTTTATTATTGAGTTAATTATATCACTTCTCTCTCTCTCCCGTTCTTTCCACACTGCACTGTACTGAGTCACTAATGTTTCACAGCGAACATTGGTTATTAAAAACTAATAAATCCTTGATTTGTGAAAAATTGGTATTTTTCATTGACAAGATTTTTTCACTTTCACTTTTACAAAGATTTAAGAAGCATCAATGTTCAGGGTGTTTTCCAAGTTTAAGGTTGAAATGAACCAAGGTTTCAGGAGCGATGGGTGTGCTGGTAAAAACATTTACGAACTATAGAATAGTTTGAGCATGTTTGGAGACTCGGAGCTTTCTGTTGTTTGGTATACCAGGATACTAATATACACCCAGAACCTTTATTATTCAATGTTTAAACATAAAAGAAAATATGAAAACATTTCAATCTTTTTATTTCAGTTGACAATCAATATTTGTTTATGTACTCCTGTACTCCTGTACTCCTGTACTCCTGTATTCCTGTACTCCTGTACTCGGGTACTCCTGTACTCCTGTACTCCTGTACTCCTGTACTCCTGTACTCCTGTACTCCTGTACTCCTGTACTCCTGCACTCCTGTACTCCTGTGCTCCTGTATCCTGTACTCCTGTACTCCTGTACTCCTGTACTCCTGTACTCCTGTGATTCATGACACATGTTCTCCTTGACCGATTTGCCTCATATTTTGATCGAGTGGTAGAAACACAGAAATGTTCTTAACTTGGTTAAAAAATTATTGAGATTTCCAAGGAAAGTTGGGTCCTAAAGCTCGCAACGATAAATAAGTGCTAAGTGTAGAAATTAGGTAGTTCCGGTCTTTTCTTATACTTCCGGCCTTTTAACTCAACATTGCACAAAAGAAAGGAAAAATCGAATTTTTCAATATAACCCTTGTGATATTCTTATATATATTTAAAATTACATAAAGAATTGTTTTCATGTCATTCTATCATTTGCTGAAAATTGTAGTTGAATTTTGTTGCAAAATTAGAAGTTAAAATAAGTGCTTCTTTATTTAGTCTTTAAACTATTTATACATTATACAATATACATGATACATCATTATTATTTATTTTCCTTGCACTTAACTCAAATTCAAGGGTGCTTCGCACCCCTCTTACTTTTTAACCTGTTTTCTTTATATCTGAAAGAATAGTTCTCTTTTTAGACTTTTAAACTTAAGTAAATATAGTTCCAGGGCAGTATTTTAGAAATGAAAGAAAAACATTTATTTACCTTTGAAATGAGTGTTTATCACCTCTCCGTGAGTACCTTCAATAAAGTCTCAAAAAATGTTTTTTTTTTTTTAATTTGAGGGGACAGGAAAAGACTGGACAGGACAAGGATGGGTATGGGACGTACAATTTCCAGAAGTAATTTTTAAGAGGAGAACGTTCCCTTTGATCTATTATGGCCTTTTAGTGAGATATAAGAGGAAATATTTCGAGGCTTAGAATTGAGGCTCTAAGCTGTAGGAGAGTATAAATAATGGAAGAAACTAATATAAACTTCACTTTCATTCTTAGTTTCAACCCTCCAGCATCTCATGGTGGTCGATATCAACCCGTCTCTCAGAGAAAAAAGTCTATTAGAAAGATACAACTTTTTTTAGAAAAAGAAAAAACTGATTTTAGAAAGGAAAAAATAGATTTTTAGAATAGGAAAAAACCTGCTTTTTATGTACGGGAAAAAACGATTTTTAGAGAGGACAAACGGATTTTTAGAGCGGACAAAACCGGATTTTTAGAAAAAATAAAACCGAATTTCAAGAAAAAATAAAACCGGATATCTAGAAAAAATAAAACCAGATTTCAAGAAAAATTAAAACCAGATTCTAAAAATTAGGACAAACCCAAATTTTTTTAAAGAAGAAATTAAGATTTTTAGAAAAGAGAAAACCAGATTTTTTGATAGGATAAGCCTTATAAACCCTCCAGCATCTCATGGTCGATATCAGCCCGTTTTTCAGAGAAAAAAGGTTTATTAGAAAGATACCACTTCTTTTAGAAAAAGAAAAAACTGTTTTTAGAAAGGAAAAAATAGATTTTTAGAATAGGACAAAACCTGCTTTTTATGTACGGGAAAAAACGATTTTTAGAGAGGACAAAACCGGATTTTCAGAGAGGACAAAACCGGATTTTTAGAGCGGACAAAACCGGATTTTTAGAAAGGAAAAAATAGATTTTTAGAATAGGACAAAACCAGCTTTTTATGTACGATTTTTAGAGAGGACAAAAACGGATTTAAAAAAAAATAAAACCGGATTTCAAGAAAAATATAACCAGATTTTAAAAATTAGGACAAACCCAGATTTTTTTAAAGAAGAAATCAAGATTTAGAAAAGAGAAACCCAGATTTTTAAATAGGATAAACCCTTATGCAAAGTATTATCTAGGAGAATGACTAAGAACATAGATGATGTTGAAGTGCGAGGAAGGAATGCGAATATTGAACCTCAAGTAAATCCTCCAACAGCAGATGGATTTAAAAATAAGATGGCTATCCAGAGATCCTACAGTGTAGAGGTATAGTTATGTTGATCTGTGTTCATTGTGCATTCTTTAATCTTTAACTTAAACTATATTACAGATATGGTTATTTATTTCAATCGTTCAAAAAAATGAATTTGTTCGTTCTCAAAATGATCGTCCATTTTTCATCTACTTCGTTCTTTTTCTCACTGAACGATTGTTCTTTCAGTAGAAAAACGATTGTTTTTTAGAAATATTTGTTAGAAAAATGTTCGTTCAGTAAAAAAATCAATCGTTTTTTCAAGTCCGTTCGAAAAAAAAATTTAGAATTCGTCCATGAACGATCAGGATCGTTTGAACGGTCTTTAATCGTTCATTTTTGTGTTCGTTTTTAAAAAATGATAGTTTTTCATTTCTCTGTACGATCCAAATTGTTCGTGCATCGTTCGTGTATTTTGTGACCGACACCATCGGTCACAAAAAATTTTGTTTGTTCTCAAAAATGTTGTAATATTCTGCATGCTTAACTCGAACTATTGATTTTCTAATGGTTTTGTGGAATTTTGTTCATTAAAGTGAATTAATAAATATGGATAAATACTTACCACAGAAAGCTATATTTCAACAATCATTTAGAATTTATGCTTTTACTTGACATTATTCAAAATACAAAGAATTAAATACAATCAATACATTCGCCACAAACTCAAATTTTATCGTCCCTATATCGTTGCAACCTGATGGTGGAAACTTTCGATATTTAAACCGCGTCGCTGAGCCGCCAAAAACCGGTTCCAATTGAGCGCCGGCTCAAATCTCGAAACATTAAACACAATTTCAAGCGGAACCAACTATGTTTGAGCCGTGGCTCAAATTCTTTAAATTGACCCTCAGGTTGCAATGATATGATTGTTTCCTAGAACGGATATCATGGTAAGACCCGGAGTCTTGTTGGAGACGCAAAGTTCGAATCTTTCGTGAGAAGAGAAACAAAAACTAAACTCCTCGAGTCAGCTCAGGAATTCGGTAAGTTTCACTTCCTCTTGAAAGAGACTATAAATGTAATTTCATGCAAAGATGGAAATGCCCGATTACCAATAGTACCCTTTCAGGCTTAATCATCTAGTAAGAATTATAATAGGATGTTCTTGTTTTTCTTAAACTGTTTATTTTCATTTGTGGTTTCGCGCATTTCTCGAATATAAGAAAAAATGGAGAGATAACCACACTTAGAACAGTTGGAAAAACAACGGGTTCTTACACATTTTAGATCAGACTAAGGTTTTAATTGGGCACTGTTGTCAATCAGGTATTTACTTCTTGCAGGGGGTGGGGGTTCACTTAATAATGGCCGTAAAGTCTCTTAATACGCGAATTAGGATTAAAAATGGAACCAGAGATTTTGTTTGAATTATTTTAACTAGATTACTAAGATTTGGATACGTTTTGTTCGAGTGTATGAACCAAATTGATTATACTATCCCAAACTGATATAAAAAGTTTCAAGACTGGCATTTGAAGCTCTAAAAATGTACATTTTACAACTATGAAGCACTTAAATTAATTCTTTCCATCAAACTTAAATTTTCTAATCTCTAAATCTTTGGAAAATGATGGCGGAAACCTTTGATATGTCAAATTTAGATTTGTGGATCTAACAGAATTCACAGTTTAAAATATCTAAGGCCAACAACGTTAGGTTGCAAAGATAATGATTAAAAAATCAGGGGCTGGGGCAAAAACTTAATCCCTTTCTAATCAATTTTTGCGTTTACACTTCCGGGGGGGGGGGTCTTCATTTTTAAAATTAAAAGGGTTTTTATATTTTATCTGTAGAGTTTGATATAGTAGATGAAGAAGAAGCTCTCCTACTTGAATCCTTGTCAACAGAAAACAACAATGACAAGGTAAAGAAACGATTTCTATTGGTTTAGAATAGACAACAAACACATGACTGAACCCTGATTGGATCAGGCGCTAATGGACTCGGCTTACAGGAGTGAAACTAAGTTCTTGCAACAAATACTTTTTAAGATCTAGATATATATTTATGTATCGAGGTTATCACAAGTTTACAGAATTGTTAATATGGATTTAACATAGAATTTTTTTTGCGATGTTATCGTGTACATACAATTACAAATTAATTAAGTCGAAATCCAGAAATTTACAGATACATTTTTTTCGTTTTTTCATGTCTTGATTGCTGGTAAATTTATATTCAAGTATTGACAGAGCAGCAGTTCAAGAGGAAAAACTATATTATATATTAGAGGATAGCATACTTTTGTGAAATAAGACTGGGAGATATTAAAAACACAGTGTGTGTTATCTCTTATTGGAAAATGCTACAATTAACATCCTGGATGCTTTCACATAAACATGGACGGGAGCGAGTTTATATTAAAGAAAATTATTGTTAGTGTCATAACATGGAACATTGACCGTTCCTAGTTAAAAATGAGGCTACAAAATCTAAGTTTGACACAAATACTGATTATCCAATACTTATATCTTTGCAACCTAATTTTGTAGCCGTTGATATCGCAAACTGCAATTCTGTTAAATAAATTAATCTCAGTTTGCAATATCAAAGGTTTACACTTTCAGGTTGCGAATATACAGAGATTAGAAAATTTGAGTTTGTAGCAAGAACTTTGTTGCCAAGTATCAAAATTCAATTACATCAAAAAATTAAAATTTCTGTTTGATAATATGAACATTGTTGTTGTAGGACGATACTTTTTGGAATTAGGAACTTTTAAGTTTGAAATATCTTTTAAAATGATCAAGGCTCTTTTTTAGAGTTACAGCAGCTAAACATTTCGGTTTTGCAAAAATGATTGAATAAAGCTAATATTCATTTGGTTTATTCGGGTATATCCTGGTTATTCTGGTTTTTATAGATATATATAGATATATATTTGTGTTCAGGTAAGATTGAGGATCTTGGTTGAGACCAAGGACTGTTTGCTCGGACTAACAAGGATAATGAAGATACTCGAGGTAAATATAAACTTTAAAGAGAGTGTTTGCGAAAAAATGTCAAATCATGACTGGACTAGCACTTTTTATTTTTACAGTTTTGACAGAAACACATGATAGTAATAAAGTCACTAAGTTAGTGTAACCTTCAATGAAAGTCACAATATTATAACCTCATATGACCTTCCGCAGCCACCCCCTTTAAATCCGCAACCACCCTTTTTAAATCCGCAGCCACCCACTTTAAATCCGCAGCCATCTCTTTTTTAATCCGCAGCCACCCCTTTAAATCCGCAGCCCCCCCTTTAAATTCGCAACCACCCCCTTTAAATTCGCAACCACCCCCTTTAAATTCGCAACCACACCCTTTAAAGTAATTTAAACGTAATTTCAACTTCCTTTCTGTATTATATTGTAGAGTGAGGAGGGTAAACTATATCATCTTGAATCCAGGAAACCGAAGAAATCAGAGAAAAATATTGAAATGGAATTTCTTCTCTCCTGCCAGGTAAAGAATATATATACCATGTACTAGTTTGAGAACCTAGCGTTGCCCATTAGTTTATCCCACCGTTTACCCGCCTTATCCGTAAATTAAGATTTTCGCTATTTTTCGCGTTTAATTCTGATAAATTTTCATCGTTTCTGAAGAAGGAAATGCTCTAGTCAATTTTGAAGAAAACCCCCACAATTGAAAATATACAGAGGACAAACAGACAGACATACAATCCAAATATATGTATGTATATGTAAATATATGATTTAATTCTAAGGTCAGTCCAAAACTTTTTAACAAAATAAGTTCTTCTTCAAATAGATAGTTCCTCTTTAGTCTTTATACTAAATTTACATTGTTAAAAACTTTGTAATTTTTGAAAATTAGAGTTTATTGATTTAGAAGGTAGGTGGGTTGAAATGTTATATTTAAAATCCTTATACATTAATCTACATACTTTGCTTGTCTGTCTGTATGTCTGTCCGTAAAACGGGCCACGGCTGCAACCGATGGGGCCCAAATTTTGTGTGGGACCCTTACATGACTCGAGGGAAGGTTATATATATGCTCAAATATTTTTGATTTTTGTTAAATTTTGAAAATTCAAGAAAAATATTACTAAATCTGAAAACTTTTTTGTTATTTTTTATATTGTATTCAGGCAATAATCATAATTTTAAATATTCTTTTTTAATTGGGCCTTCACAATTCACAATTTAAAACAACTTTTAATCTACTTAAGGGAACCCATGACTCAAGAGTAGTGCGGGGTAACAATTGCAATAAAAAAAAATTTTAATTTATTCAAAAAATGAATTTTTTTAAAGTGCTTTTTTAATTCCACTGGCAACTCTGGGCACTAAGGATATCATTTTAATAAATAATGTAAGCGATAAATGGTGTATTTTTATACTACAATTTTGCCATGAAATTATACAATTCAAAATATTTTAATCTATTTTGTTAAAATCTGTTTTTGCAGGTAAAACCTGCTAGAGCACTGTTCCTCTTGAAGAGTTTGAAGACTAGTAACGGCCTCGTCGGGGCAAGGTAAAAGAAGGCGGAAAATCTTTCCACAATTTTGTTTCCATTTTTAGAGACTACCCCTCCTGCAAACTTTCGGGGTATTTAATTTTTCCATTTTTTATCCTTCCTTCAACCTAATGTTAAAGGGACTGTGAGTGTAATTTTAATTAAAAACAATTCCAACACAATTTTGGAGAAAATATATTTTTTAACAAAAATTGAAGCATTGAGGTAATTGTAGAAGGAACTGCAGTACGCGCCTTTTCAAGTGATCATTTAAAGAACTAAATCCCCGATTTTATAGAACAATACTCTTTAAACCTTAAAAATGATCATCTAGGTCAGAAAGTTAATATCAATCCTTAAATATAAAGCAGTTTGCAACCAAAGTGTTCAACATTTAGCACCGTTTCTGTAGAAAAATAAGGAAAAGTTTCTGTAAAAGAATAAGGTAAAGTTTCTGTAGAAAAATAAGGAAAAGTTTCTGTAGAAAAATAAGGAAAAGTTTCTGTAAAAGAATAAGGTAAACTTTCTGAAGAAAAATAAGGAAAAGTTTCTGTAGAAAAATAAGGAAAAGTAGATTGCTTGATATAATGTTAAGAGAGCTTTCTCCACAGACAATATTCAGAATTTTTAATAATTTTTTCAATTGGGCCTTTGTAGAAAAATAAGGAAAAGCTTCTGTAGAAAAATAAGGAAAAGTTTTTGTAGAAAAATAAGGAAAACGTTCTGTAGAAAAATAAGGAAAATATTCTGTAGAAAAAAAGGAAAAGTTTCTGTATAAAAATAAGGAAAAGCTTCTGTAGAAAAATAAGGAAAAGTGTCTGTAGAAAAATAAGGAAAATTTTCTGTAGAAAAATAAGGAAAATGTTCTGTATAAAAATAAGGACAATATTCTGTAGAAATATAAGGAAAAGTGTCTGTAGAAATATAAGGAAAAGTTTCTGTAGAAAAATAAGGAAAAGTGTCTGTAGAAATATAAGGAAAAGTTTCTGTAGAAAAATAAGGAAAAGTGTTTGTAGAAAAATAAGGAAAAGTGTCTGTAGAAAAATAAGGAAAAGTGTCTGTAGAAAAATAAGGAAAAGTTTCTGTAGAAAAATAAGGAAAATATTCTGTAGAAAAATAAGGAAAAACATTTTAAGACCAAACGTTTTTCACAATTAATTAATTAATTCAATTCATGATTAGATTGGTTGGTGGTATTGAAGTATCTGAATCCTGTGTCTGGTTTCCAAAACATATTTCAGAGTTGGATCAATGCAATCATGTTCTCACCAAACTAGAACCAGATTTAGGTATCCATTTTATAGACTAGAACCAGATCTAGGTATCCATTATAGAACTAGATCTAGGTATCCATAATAAAAATTAGAACTAGATCTAGATATTCATTATATAAACTAGAATTCAAGATCTTGATATCCATTAAATATTTTCTAGATATGGACCATCCAGGCTGGAGTGACCTGGAATACAGGTATAAATAAAAAAAAAACATTTAAAATTTGAAATAATATTTTACAATATTACATTCAAAGTAAAGAATAATTGACCCCAACCCCATTTTCAAATAAAAGCCTTTGATTCTGTTTGGAAATGATCAAATCAATAATATTATTTTGTTTAATTACAGGGCTAGACGGAAAATGATCGCTGATATATCATTCAACTATGTTCAGTAAGTTAGTTTCAGTTTATTAAAGGTTTAAAAATGATATTTTGTAAATATATAAATCATTTATTAATTCTAAATTTAAGTTGTTTTATTAAAATTCCAAGTTTTTAAAATTTGATCAAAGTTTTTATTAAAGTTTTAGCAAAGGGAATTATGAAAGAAATTTTAAAAATGGAACAAAGGAATTGAGTCTTTTTCCTATTTGAAATCCAATATGGTTAACCATATAGATATTTCAAACCATGAATTCTTTCAGATCAAATAATCTAGGTTTGAAATATATTAAATTTCCTCACCATAAAGTTGCAAAGATATAGTGATTAGAAATTGTGTCAAAGACTTCATTCTGTTGACCAAATAGGTTCATTTTGAATTTTAATCAATTATAAAATAAATCTAATTCTATTGTTTTTGACGATTAAGTGGTCAGAAAATACCGGAAGTTGAATACACCAAAGCGGAAATAGAAACCTGGGACGTTGTTTATCTAAAGGTAATTATTAAATTTAATCCGTAATAAAAGAGCTTCTTCCAGGACGAGCTTCTCAAGTTCATATCAAGTATCTTGAGATCATGGAGAAGGTAAAATTATTTGTTTAATGACAACCACTTTAAAGAGAGTGACTGGCTATGTAAGGTAGTTGAACTGAATATGCAGTGTTGTGGAAAACTTCTTTCGGATTCATTTGAGACATATCAAACTTTTTAAAGATCTGTAAAACAAAGATTTTCGCAGATTTTCTAGAATTATTATTGAAAAGACGACATTTGAAGAATTAGAAGAAATCTGCGAATAAATTCAAAGTAAATAATTAATTCAATATAATAATGAAAACGAAATAATTAATTTTAGAATTGATTTATTGACAAATTTCTTTTGAGAGATATGTTCCTAACCATCTAATTAGCTTACTGTATAATTTTTACCTTATTTTTCGTAGTCGATATTTAATAATTAAGAAAAAACTAATTCTGAAAACGCATCCATCCCAAAAATAGGAGTTTTTAATGTCGAATTTGAGCTCAAACTCAGGATTTACAGATCTTTAAAAAGTTTAATATGTCTCAAACTAATTCGAAAGAAGTTTTCCACAACACTGCATACTCAGTTCAACTAGCTTAAATAGCCGGTCACTCCCTTTAAGAGTCAATTTAAATTCTATCCTGTTGCTCTATCTGCGCCATTTTCTCTTTTAAAATTATCAAATAATTTGGTTTCGATCGGTTCAGCCGTTTTGACGTTTATCGGTTGCAAACAAACAAACAAACAAATTGTATATATAGATATTTATAGAGAGAATGTAAACCATATGTAAATCATTCCACATGCATCGTTTAAAATGCGTCATTATTGATTTTTTTATTTACAGGGTGTCCCATTTAGCATGGGAGTTAGGCGTCATTCGTTATTTAAAAAAACACAATTTTAGTACTCTAGTACTCAAGAGATTTCACGCCAGAAGTTTTAGTCTTAGAGTATCATCCAATGTGCAGTTAACAGTTCTGCACCTTTAAAATTGACGAGAGATATTGTATAATTTGTTTAGAATCTTATGGATGATAAACAAAACTGTTCTTTAATGTTTAATCTTTCAGTGAATTTTAAGCATGCAATATGTTAAGCATGCTTTTTTCCAAAAAGCCCTTAAGACGTACAACATTACACATTCAACACAGTTTAGCTCAGAACTTCGTAGACATCGAAAGAATTTATAAAATGTCGTATTTACAATTTTTCGATGAGTTTTAAGTAATTGTATAAATAAATAGCCGTGAAAGGCGAGAACTTGATGTCTCTGGAGTTTTGAGATAAAATAACCTACTAAATATAAATCAATTATCGGAAATAAAAGTGATTTTCAAGTCGTCTTTTAACTCCCATGTTTATTGGGATATATTCATTGATATTACATGATAAAGGTAAACTAATACTGGTAACACATTAAATTAATTACAATTAATTACAACATCAATTTGCTTAAATGTCGTCTTCTTATTCCACATTTTCTGGATCTCACGGTATGCACTGTAGGAGTGTGGATATGGTGTTGGAAAGATACCCCAGCTAGAGGATGTCTCAAACTTTCTTAGAAGTAAACATTTTGTAAACATCTTTTATTTCTTAGATGTAAACATTTTATAAACATCTTTTACTTCTTAGAAGTAAACATTTTATAAACATCTTTTATTTCTTAGAAGTAAACATTTTATAAACATCTTTTATTTCTTAGAAGTAAACATTTTATAAACATCTTTTATTTCTTAGAAGTAAACATTTTATAAACATCTTTTATTTCTTAGAAGTAAACATTTTATAAACATCTTTTACTTCTTAAATGAACAGGTTATAGAGGAATAGAACTGGGAACTCTTGTATTGTAGATATCGAGATCAATGATCTCGATATATCAACAGATTAGTTTAATCTGTTGAGATATCCTGCATGTTAATCTTACCCAGTCTGTGGTCGAAATAAAGGGATCGGAATTTGTGAGTGTCTAACACAACAGTTTCCAACTCTGTTTACTTTTAGAATTAGACTTTTTTTTACTTAATTAAATAAACCCCTTTCATATAGATTAAAAAGCTATCTATTCTCTTGTTATGTATTGCTTTCTTTTATCCCTTTAATCTCTTTTTATATCTTTAATCTCGTTTAATTTCTGTAACCTTTATATCCCTTTAAACCCTTTAAATTCATATATTATCTGTTGAATCTCATTTATTTATTTTAATCTCGTATTAGCTCATTAATCTCGTTTTTATCCTTACATTCATTAAAACCCTTTAATCCCACCCCATTAACCTATTAAATCTTCATTAACCTATTTAATCCCATTAATCCTCAATATCCCACTTGATCCTTTTATCCAGGAACCTCTGGGTTTAGCCTGCGACCTGCAGCTGGCCTGGTCACAGCCAGAGATTTCCTCTCTAGCTTGGCGTTCAGAGTGTTCCAGTGTACACAATATGTCCGACATCCTAGTTCACCGCACTACTCCCCAGAACCGTAAGCTCTTTATTACAAATACAGAGTCATTGCAAACTTTTTGTGACGTAACTGGTATGACTTTTTGACCTCGTAGCTCCTCTAGAGATTTTAAATTTCAGAATAAAGTGGGTGGTAATCTTGAATTTCAGAATAAAGTCTGTGGAAATCTTGAATTTCAGAATAAAGTCGGTGGTAATCTTGAATTTTACGCTTAAAGTTGGTAGTAATCTTGAATTTCAGAATAAAATGGGTAGTAATCTTGAATTTCAGAATTTTAGAATAAAGTCCATGGTAATCTTCAATTTCAGAATAAAGTCGGTGGAAATCTTGAATTTAGAATAAAGTCGGTAGTAATCTTGAATTTTACGCTGAAAGTCGGTGGTAATCTCGAGTTTTATGCTTAAAGTTGGTAGTAATCTTGAATTTTACGCTTAAAGTCGGTGGTAATCTTGAATTTAGAATAAAGTCGGTAGTAATCTTGAATTTTACACTTAAAGTCGGTGGTAATCTTGAATTTTACGCTTAAAGTTGGTGGTAATCTTGAATTTTACGCTTAGAGTTGGTGGTAATCTTGAATTTTACGTTTAAAGTCGGAGGTAATCTTGAATTTCAGAATAAAGTGGGTAGTAATCTTGAATTTCAGAATTTTAGAATAAAGTCCGTGGTAATCATGAATTTCAGAATAAAGTCCGTGGAAATCTTGAATTTAGAATAAAGTTGGTAGTAATCTTGAATTTTACTCTTAAAGTCGGTGGTAATCTTGAATTTTACGCTTAAAGTTGGTAGTAATCTTGAATTTTACGCTTAAAGTTGGTAGTAATCTTGAATTTTACTCTTATAGTCGGTGGTAATCTTGAATTTTACGCTTAAAGTTGGTGGTAATCTTGAATTTTACTCTTAAAGTCGGTGGTAATATTGAATTTCAGAATAAAGTAGGTGGTAATCTTGAATTTAGAATAAAGTCGGTGGTAATCTTGAATTTTACTCTTAAAGTCGGTGGTAATCTTGAATTTTACTCTTAAAGTTGGTGGTAATCTTGAATTTTACGCTTAAAGTTGGTAGAAATCTTGAATTTTATGCTTAAAGTTGGTGGAAATCTTGAATTTTACGCTTAAAGTCGGTGGTAATCTTGAATTATGCTTAAAGTCGGTTACAGTAATCTTGAATTTTTACGCTTAAAGTCAGTGGAAATCTTGAATTTTATGCTTAAAGTCGGTGGTAATCTTGAATTTCAGAATAAAGTTGGTGGTAATTTTGAATTAAAAATAAAGTCGTTAGTAATCTTGAATTTTACATGTAAAGTCGGTGGTAATCTTGAATTTTACGCTTAAAGTCAGTGGTAATCTTGAATTATGCTTAAAGTCGGTTATAGTAATCTTGAATTTTACACTTAAATTCGGTGGAAATCTTGAATTTTATGCTTAAAGTTGGTGGTAATCTTGAATTTCAGAATAAAGTCCGAACATTTGTCCCTGAAGTTGAATCCTTTGTAGGTTACACTGTACACTTGTTTGTGGCAAATTTTTTCCAACAATTAAAAAAAAGATAAATCCAAATTTTTTTTCCAAATTTGAAATTTTACATCTATTCTAGGGTCTGGGTTTCAAACGCAAGTGAATTTTAGTTCTGCGCAATTCCTGACAATTCCGAGCAAATTCACACAATTCCTCGAAATTCGAGCACAATTCCGCACAGTTCCGCACAATTCTGAGCCATTTCAAACAATTTCGCGCAATTCGAGCACGATTCTGCGCAATTCCACACAATTCCACGGAATTCCTATTGGAAATAGTTAATTTCATAATTCATAATTTTTTTGATAATTGCATATTTGAATATAGAGATGTTCTCCATGAGCTGATCGGTCACTGCCCGATGTTTGCTGATCCCACATTTGCCCAGTTTTCACAGGAGATCGGTCTTGCATCTCTAGGTAGAGATGGGCGCATTCAGCTTTTTTTCATTTCTTTCGTTTATTGTTCGTGAAAGAAACATTTGGTTTCTTTTGTTCAATCATTCAACAAAAAATTAATTTCCTTCGTTCTCAAAAATTAGCGTTCATTTTCCATCTATTTTGTTCGTTTTCTCACTGAACAGATAGTTCATTGAAATCGTTTGTTCAGTAAAATTGTTTGTTCAAAAAAATTATTTGTTCAGTTAAAAATTATAGTTAATTTTTTCAAAAGTTTGTTCGAAAATATCGTTCGTTCAGTAAAATGAAACATAGTTTTTATATATTTTGGAAATTTCGTTTGTTCAGTAACCATCGTTCGGAATTTTGAAATGAACAACACCATTGTTCGTTCTCAAAAATTTCATTTGTAGACATAAACAATGCCCATCTCTTACTTTAGGAGCCAAGGACTCAGAGATTGAGAAACTAGCGACGGTATTTAGAACTTTATAAATATTTTTTAGCTCAACCCTTTCAACGTATAGGTATTAGATATAAAATTTATTTTAACTAATCATATACGCTTTTTATATTAGAACACAACCTTTTAGTCTAGGCTTGGGTCTTAATCCCTCAGTCTCTACTCAAAAGATCAAGATTAGATCCGATTTAACTCAACTCTAAGTATAAATGGTTCGAATATATCTCAAAAACAAACATTTTGAAAAATATTTAGTTGTACTGGTTCACTGTGGAGTTTGGTCTATGCAAAGAAAACGGAGCAGTGAGAGCTTATGGAGCAGGCTTACTCTCAAGCTATGGAGAACTACTTCATTCACTTAGTCGTAAACCAGCAGTAGAATACAGGTAGAATACAGGTAGAATGCAGGTAGAATACAGGTAGAATACAGGTAGAATACAGGTAGAATACAGGTAGAATACAGGTAGAATACAGGTAGAATACAGGTAGAATACAGGTANGGATATCTACTATATTTGATATTTAATCTGTATGTTTCTAGGATATCTACTATATTTGATATTTAATCTGTATGTTTCTAGGATATCTACTATATTTGATATTTAATCTGTATGTTTCTAGGATATCTACTATATTTGATATTTAATCTGTATGTTTCTAGGATATCTACTATATTTGATATTTAATCTGTATGTTTCTAGGATATCTACTATATTTGATATTTAATCTGTATGTTTCTAGGATATCTACTATATTTGATATTTAATCTGTATGTTTCTAGGATATCTACTATATTTGATATTTAATCTGTATGTTTCTAGGATATCTACTATATTTGATATTTAATCTGTATGTTTCTAGGATATCTACTATATTTGATATTTAATCTGTATGTTTCTAGGATATCTACTATATTTGATATTTAATCTGTATGTTTCTAGGATATCTACTATATTTGATATTTAATCTGTATGTTTCTAGGATATCTACTATATTTGATATTTAATCTGTATGTTTCTAGGATATCTACTATATTTGATATTTAATCTGTATGTTTCTAGGATATCTACTATATTTGATATTTAATCTGTATGTTTCTAGGATATCTACTATATTTGATATTTAATCTGTATGTTTCTAGGATATCTACTATATTTGATATTTAATCTGTATGTTTCTAGGATATCTACTATGTTTGATATTTAATCTGTATGTTTCTAGGATATCTACTATATTGCTGAGTCATTCGAGGATGCTAAGCAGAGACTGAGGTTTGTTTTAAGTTTTGTTTCTTGACAGAATTTTTTTCTTTTTTCATTCAAATACATTTTAAATCTCATTTGCTTATGTTTAAAGCATAATCAAAGAAACCGTTTCTCAAAAATATTCAAATGAAACAGAGTTCAGGGTGTCCAACGAAACGTGACAGTTGAAGAAAAGTTTATTTCGTTAGAAAATTTTGTACTGAAATACTTTTTACTTCAGAATTAATCTTACTATGATATTATTCTCTTTCGGTATCTAACAAATTTTAAAATTTTGGAAAAAGATCGACATTTAAAACCATTCCCCAAGTGTCATGTTTCATGTAGATATTTATCATGTGAGAGTGGGATTCATGTTGTGTTCACTGCCCCGGAAAATTCCAAAACAGAGAGAGGGGAATTGAATTTTGTAGATCCAGAAAATAATATCTGTGGAATGCCTGCGTAGAGACTGGCAGCTGGTGGGGTCTTAAGTGTAAGACATGTGGCCGCAGCGCTCAGCCCAGAAAGTGTCATAACTAAATAAATACTAATGTTATTATTTTTCTGGATCTACAAAATACAATCCCCCTCTCTCTGTTTTGGAATTTTCCGGGGCATTGAACATAACATGAATCCCACTCTCCCATTTATCATTGAAGGGCTTGGGTCTCCACATCCCTGAGTCGACCCTTCACAGTTCGATATATTCCCTTCACCCAGAGTATAGAAGTGATGGATACTTTTGCTTCAACATATAATCTAATCCAGGTAGAGATTATATAAAAGTGGGGAAAGACGACTTTATGACTCAAGTTATAATTTCTGATAGTCAAGAAATAAAAAATGAAACACGTCAATTGTGCAGTGTACACAGACACTAAATATGTGTTCACATAAATAGCACGTCTTCGACAATTGGCTGTAAATTGAACATTAGAATTTATGGCAAAGACGTAAATCCCTAGTCTATTCTATTCTTTTGCACCACCACCTTGATGTCATAGTAATATATAATACGTTAACCACGCTGCTCAATATTTATTTTACAACAATGTAATTAATAAAGAGATTTTATTTTAGGAGTTGAAAATTCAAGTAACTCAGCTTTCTTCTGCTTTTGACCAGATTTCAACAACAAATCAGCTGATAACAGAGAAAATAATCTAAATAGCTGATTAAAAGCTCGGTCTAGCTGATAACTTTGTAACTTACAGCTAGTTGAGTTAAACTCATTCTCTTCATCTAATAGTTGACAGCTGAGTCTAATTTTTTTTCGCTGATTTTGACAGACTAGCTGATCAAACCAAGCTAAATAATATCAGCTGGTTTATTAAAGGGACTGTAAGCGTAATTTCAAAGATGACAATGTTCGATTTGTAACAGAATCCTTTAAACCTGAACCTGCAATCAAAAATGGGGAAAAATCAATAGAATTGTTCTGACTCTAAAAGTGTTCCTTTCTGTGATTGCGCAAATCTGCACTTTCGCTGAGAATACGCAAATGACAATAAAGTAACAAAAATATTGATATATAATTCATACTTGAGCAGACAAAGCTTTAAATTAGGGTACCGTTGTAAATCTGACATTTCCATCTTTGCATGGAGGGTCACTTGAAATTACACTTACAGTCCCTTTCTTCAGCTTAAAATCGAGTTAAAAATTGATCTTTAATTGATCTTTTATTGATCTTTAATCGATTTTTATCATGTTTCACAGGTTCAAGCAGTTTCAATGTACATAGGAATTATAACTAAACTTTTATCTCGTCTTCGGTCTTTAGAAGTAAATTAAAAATGATTCACAAATGTAATTTCGGTAATTATTTTCTCTTATAGATGACAGGAGATCATCAGACATTTCGATTACATTTCAATTAAAAAATCAGGGGTTCGAAAATGTTTGCTTTTTAAGTATAAACGGATGTATAATTTTGTTTATGAATAAATGCTGCGTATTGATCAGAGACGAGTTTAACGTGTTATTGGATTCCCCTGTTTTTGGAACTTATATACTCTAGAGTGAACCAGAGCAACTGAAAAAGTAAAAATCAAACAAAATTTTCAAATTATTAAACTATTATGAAAATGAATGAATACTATCGATTTAAAAAGTTTTATAAAACATGTATTTATCTAAAATATAACCGTACGTGTAAGACGAACAAATTAAAATGTGAATATTTCTGTTGTCAATAAACATATCTGAATCATTACATTTTAATCTTTTCATCAAAAGGAAAAAATCATTATGAAATAAGTCTTCTTCATGGCTCACATATATATTTCTGTGTCTCAACGTAAAAAAATCCGCATTAAAATTTTATGAAAATAGAAAACTCGTTTTTAAAAATATTAAATATCTACATTTCAATAATTTCTATGGCAAATTTTCGTTAGTTGTTTACAATATTGATATCTCTTGTCTTGGGGATTCCTTCCCAGCACTTGATCAATAAGATCGTTCTCAAAATCTTCATAAAACTCTTCATCTTCAAATTGTTCTATCTCCTAAATAATCATTTTAAGACACTTTGCGCAACAAGGGGAGGAAGGCCAACCACAAAAATGTCTTGTCCGAGCCACATTCTTTCATTTCCTCGTCCGCACCACCTCGAAATCTTCGTCCTTCCAACATTATTTTCTGTAATTGTCTAATCCTTCCAGATAAAAAAGTTTTTTATAAATTGGGCCATGTTATGGCAAGAATGTTAAAAAATGTATACCTTAATTACACGCATTTTCAGATATTACTGGTGTAGAATGACGCAAGTTATTTCGAGTTAATAAAACTTCAGTTTTTTGTTAATTAAAGCGAAAACTGTTTTATCTTTGAGAATTGGAAACTTTAAAAGGACGAGGATTCCGAGCTGCTATATTTCTAGTGCTTATGGAAGGAAGATTTTGGCTTTTGATTTGACTGGACCTCTCTAGCCCATTCCTTCGGCTGAATGATGCTCTAGGAGTTAGGACGTGTTAAGCCAAGTGGTGTTGGCCTAGGGTTTCCAGCGTAAAGTTTGCATTTTTCGCGAAAAGTTATTTTTGACAAAAATTTAGCAAGCAATGCTATAATGTAAAAAATACGAAATTTTGGCGAAATAAGAAATACAAAAATGTCGCAAAAAAATGTTCACTTGGGAAGTTGCCCTTGGCCAGGACTAGGACTTAGCACCAAGCTTATGACTTAGCTCTTAGTATCAAGCGCAGAAGCTTTTAAACAAGACAAGGAGCTGCAGCCATGAGATTTCTAAATTTAAAAATTACTGAATCTAAAATCAGGTTGATAATTACCTCCGATGAGAACTGATCATGTTGTACATTAAACTGACACGGGAGTTGATAAAAATATTCAGGATACTGCCAGCTCAAAACATTCAACTGACACTGAAATACAGATCCATACAGTGGTTTACAAATTACAGTGGCTTACCAAATACAGTGGTCTACAGAATACAGTGGTATATTGCAGAATGCATTAGTCTACGTAATACGATTCTCAGAGATACAGTGGTTACGAAAAAAAAGGATCTAAATACAGTTTACTAAAACATTCATGCTATCTCAAAAATACACTGGAATTGGGAGACTATCAGAAAAGCATCTTTGTGGGACACCCAAATTTATAATGCAGACCCACCCGCCCCCCTTTAATTTCTTAATTACTACATAGCCTTGGATTTGAAGATGAATATTTAAAATGATCTGGCGCTACCCCTATCCTTTAGAATTGATATTATTGAACTAATTAGGGCTGGGCAACATTTCAATATCGGAACGAAGGTTTCCGAAAAATTGACAGAAATGCCACTCAATGAATGGCAACAACCGTTAATTTTTATACCGTTAAAAAAATGGAGTATCCGTTTTTTGAAAATAAATTCAAAATTAATTTTTTTTATGCTTAAAATTGCAGTATTGTTTTTAAGTCGTCTTCTGTGTTCAAAACCTTAAATGCTGAGAATAGATAGCAGACCTAGCAGTATCCTTTGAATTTTGATTTAAAAATTTGAATTTTGTCCAGACATGAAGGAATCTGGGTTCTCCTCAGAATAGGATAAATATAGTTGATTTGGATATTTAGATATTACTCAGTCCGCAGAATAGGATAAATATAGTTGATTTAAAAATTTAAAAATATACTGCTAACGCTGTGAATACTACTAAAGGCTGTTAATAATTTCATAACAAATATTTTTAAGTGCTTCGCGCCGTTTATAATGTAAAAGACTGTTAACAACTTAAACCATTAACAATTATTGAATTTTTTTGTTAACATCCTTAATAAAACTAAGATCAATAACTATCATTTATATTTAAAAAAACAGTAAGTGCTGTTAACGAAATAAACGTTCAGTTTTTACTTTTAAAATAAATGGCAAACTGAAATTTTTCTTTTTTAACAGTTGATTGGAACTTACCGTTATCAAAACGGCAAAAAAAAATTGGAACATACTCAGCCCTAAAAGTAATTATATAATGTTTTTGAAAAAACATTTAAATGCAATTTTTTTGTGTATTCAATTGAAAGTACTACATAACTATTTATAAATAAAAAATATTTAAAAATTGTTATTCATTACTTCTATAATATCTATTGTAACGTTTAAGGGTAGCGCCAGGTCATTTTTAAAACTCATCTGCGAATACAGAGGCTTGATGACCATTTTGCGGGGCTCATGGCATTCCTGCGCCCCCTCCCTCATACCATGCTCCTGGTCCCATGCTTTTCGAAATTAAAAATCCTGTTATTTGGCAGTCATCCAACTTTTTCTGCCAAATATGCGAATTTTTGTTAAATCAATTTTCGTTATTTTGTAGTTTAGAGTGTGTGAAATCGGAAGACGACTGTTAGTTATGTACAGTTCGTTTCAGACAGACCCATTTCACTTAACCCCACTATGAATAATATTATTTTGCACTAGAACTCTTAGTTTTACCTTGAAATTTCTGGACCCTAAAAATTTGCATTTAAAAGATTATCTGCTTTTTTTTGTTTTACACTGGGAAGGGTGCAGAACAGTGAAAAGCCTGAACGGTGATTTTAAAAAATTTAAAGAGCTCACATTTTATTTGGTATTTTAGCTAAAGATCTAAAATTTACATTTCTAAAAATTCCTTGAAAAAGTTGAGACAAAGGCATTTATGTGAATTATGTGTCAATTTTCTTTTACATTTTTCGGACCTCTTTTTGACATTATTTTAACGGTGTGATTAATTTTAATGAGCTGGCATTGAAAAATGAACATGTACTGAAATTTAAAACTCCATAATTTTACACTGAGGTCTGTTTCTAAAGCCTATTAATAATTTAAGTTTATATTCTGAACACTCTTTTAAGCAGAATTGTCAAAAATCGGGATGGCAAGAACTATATAACCTGTTTTCTACCAGGGCTAGCAATGGTTGTCTTTGGTTCATTATCTCTGAATTCTGTTGTTAAAAACTTATAAAACCAAATCTTGAATTCTCCTGCTATACCAAACACCTCCCTTAAACAAAACAATATTAAATTGTATCCGAGCTGGGAACTTTAGAATTGGATATCCTTAATCCCAATCCGAGCTGGGAACTTTAGAATTGGATATCCTTAATCCCAATCCGAGCTGGGAACTTAACAATTGGATATCCTTAATCCCAATCCGAGCTGGGAACTTAACAATTGGATATCCTTAATCCCGATCCTAGCTGGGAACTTTAGAATTGGATATAATTAATCCCAATCCGAGCTGGGAACTTTAGAATTGGATATCCTGAATCCCAATCCGAGCTGGGAACTTTAGAATTGTATATCCTGAATCCCAATCCGAGCTGGGAACTTAAGAATTGGATATCCTTAATCCCAATCCGAGCTGGGAACTTAAGAATTAGATATCCTTAATCCCAATCGCTTAATCTGAATATTTAATGAGGATACTTTTTATTTTCTGCTTAATCAGCTCTTTTCTCTCTTTTTTTTTGGATATCTCTACAAAATTTCGACCAATGAGAGTTCTCTCATTAAATGACGAGTAAAATAATAGCTGATAAGAATTTAGTTTCCCCTAAAAATGTTTAAATGAGTGAACGGTCTCTTTAAAACTAAAAATTAAAGGTATAGCTGTTCATGGCACTATAGGAAATTCTAAACTTACTTCTCCGTCATCAGATCAAACTGCTGATTTAACTCATGTAGATCAATCCTAAATAATCAATTAATTAATAAAAAAATATTAGTTCTTGCCAGTTGACTGTGTAAACCTTTGATAATTCAAACTAAGACTATTTGATCGAACAGAATCCAGATATTGAGATATCAAAGGTCATACAGGGTGTCCCAATAAACATGGAAATTCAGTGACGAATTCAATATCGTCTATTTAAATAATGCTTTCATTTAGTATAATGATACCTACTGAGAAAGCTGCACCATAAGATTTTCGTCTGCTATGTTTACAATTTGTTTATTCATGTTTTGACTGCATAAGGGTGTACTTAGTAAAACAAGAAAATTTAGTATACAAACAGAGTAAATTGTCCGTCTTCACTGTTTATTTTGCAAAGACGTTTATAGACACATCTTTACAGCCATTTACCGTTTTCATAAAATAAACTCTAGCAGACATAATTATATTATGGCTTTTAAAATTAGGTATTACAATGCTAATTCATAACAGAGACGATATCGAAATCGTCACTTAATTCCCATGTTTTTTGAGACACCTAGTACCACATTCGGTTGCAAAGACACTTCTATAACCAAGATGCTTGCGCGCTATCACGCAAAAAATTGAGAAGTATTTTACTCCATTCAACTTTAAGGTAGAAACAAGCGTATTGTTATTTTTAAATGTATACGTCTAGGCCTGCAAAACAATATATGTGAAATGGTGACTGTGATCTGGCATGCCATGCTGCATTTGTTGGGAAAAAAAACATGCTCTGGCTCGGCTCTACATTGGGTTGCAAAACTGTACGGTACGACCGAATGGTGTGGTAAAATCAAAGGCCAAACGCGATACGACACCCAACAAAGATATATGGATTAAAAAATAAAGTTTTTTTTAATAAATTATTAATTATAGTGACCAATATGAGCTCAACAGCTAGGTATAGTGATAGTTCCATTGATGTAATCCCTTCAGATCTCATACGACCCGGAGCTAAGCTCAGAGTGGATAGTTCTATTGATGTAACCGCTTTAGTTCTCATACGGACCCGGAGCTAAGCTCAGATTACAAGTAGTCCGGCCTGTATGCATGGTATCTTACAAGCTCTTTCCATATTGCTATAGGTCGGACGAGAAGTACTAGGACGGATAATTAACCCCCTTGTGTATACACTATATATAAAAAACGTAATAAACGTTAGAAAAGAACAAGAACTTGTCAGTTCAGGCTTTAACATTTCTTCAGCTTTTAATTGTAACACTATCTTCCTTACATAAAATGTAGATCTATATCTAGAACTATAAGATGGTGAAGGCCTGCAGGGTATTCTCTGTGGTAGAAGGGTGCAAGGAAAAACAGATCCTAAACATCAAATATCATTAATTTTCTAATTTTAAAATATTAATTAAACAGAGCTGAAAACTTTAGAATGGGATATCCTTAACCACGATCGCTTAATCTGATTATCCAATGTACACACTTTTGATTTTCTTTTTATAATCCTCTTTTTGGATATTTCTACTGTATAAAAGTTACGTTTGATATCAACTACAGATACAATGCTATATCGATTGGACTAATATCCGATTGAATTAAAGTCAGCTGTTCACAAGCCGGCTTTTAGAACATTTAAACAAATATAAATCTAATCATGTTAATATGAAATTATTAAAAAAAAAACATATTTTAGGACTATTATCATTTTGAACTGTATTCTTAATAAACATTAATCCAAAACTTACGTTCGTTAAATCGATGTTTAGTTCAATTGATATGAGACCATCAACACAGAAAATCAAAACCGGTTTTTCAAAAATTAAAGAGTACATCTTAACATGACACCTCTTTCTTGGATATCGAATGCATTTTAAAATAATCTTGGGTTTAGTAAAACCAGGAGTTTAGGCATTAATCTTGATATCCACCATTCTAAAGATTTCAGCTCTGTGAAGATAATTTCAAATGACCCTCCATTTTTGGAATGTCTCTGAAAACTTTTAATTAATTAATTATTAACATAAATAATTATTAACTAGATAATAGATATCCATGTTTTTGTTTGTTTTTTAGCTTTATATTTTCATTTGTATAAAATTTTCATTGATATAAAAACTGTCTTAAAACATTATTAAAAAAGTGAATATTTATCTTTTTTACATATCATGATCTGAGTTTGTTTCCTTTTTTCCATCTGACTGCCCCTTTTTTTGAAAAAAAAAACTTTATATTTATCTTATTTTGGGTTTTTACATTTTCTTACTATTGATTTTGATGGTTAGTCAATTGACAAACTGACAATGGTCATCAATAAGATGTGGGACTAGTATCAACTTTATTTACTCTATGAGGTTTGGTCCATCATTAAAACCAAATTTGAAATATTATGCATGTAAGATTTTTATTTTTTTATGTGTTTATTGTTCCCTGGAAGGGTAATGAATAATGAATAATAATTTTAAAAACTTTTTCAGTATAAAATTTTTTTAAAGAAAATATATGTATATTTTCTTCTTTCAAATGTTCATATTTTTCAAAAACATTTTTTTCAAATTTTAACGACGTATTTAGAAATAGGTTTTTTTGTGTTTCACCCCCCCCCCCCCCTTCCCGTCTTTTAGGATTAAAAAGATTAATGATTTTAAGCTTTCTTTAAACTAACCTTTCCATATTTTATCTTGCAGTCCTCACTGTCCATTTTTACAACAAGATCCCCCTCCAAAGGTCGCTTCTACAAATAATTAAAATATATCACTTTTTTGGAAAGGACATTCGATAGAATCAAAAGGATCTATTTGTTATCAGTATTTAGTAATGATTAATTCTAAATCTTAATTCTATTTCCTGACAGAATTTTTTAACCTTATCCCGATAGGGCTATTCTTCTTTAATATAGATTGGGGCCACCACCCCCCCTTTATGATTTTGCTCTTCGAGTTAAGATAAGGCCAGCTCTTAAAAAAATGTTAGACCTCTAACTTTATTAGCTAGGGTGCTCTCAAAATTTATTCTAAAGAAAAAATTTTAGGGGGGGGCCGGGGATGAACTTAGTTCTTGCCCCAAACTCAGATTTTGTAATCCTTTTATCTTTGCATCCTGAATTTTAAACTATGAATTCTATTAAATTCAAATTAGCAAAGGTTTACACCATCAGGTTGCAAAGATATGGTATAAGAAAATTTTATTTTTTTAACTTTTAACAACTCTTACCTTTGTTATTGTGTACTCCTCAGAAGGACAAAAAGTTTTTTTCAGTTTATCTTTTTAAACAAATCAAACTTTTTTGTTTTACTTTTTGAATTAAGTATTTCAGTTATTAACTTCTGATAATAATATCAATTAACGTCACACCAAGCCAAAATAATTCAATCACAACAACCCTTTCATCTTAAAAATCTTTGATTAGTTATTATAAAGAATTTTGATTTGTACCTATTTCGTCCCTGTGACTCATTAAGAATGCATTAAAATCTACGAATTCTACACGGAATCTGGAAAAAATGTTTCTTTTAAATATTATTGTATTGATGAAAGAAAAATATGCATGCTTGAAGAGAATGGTCTCAAACAATATAAAGAGAATGAAAAATGAAACACATTGATGGTTAACGGGTTAGAAAAATCTATTAAATAATTTTTAAATATATGTATTTCCATTAAACAGAGATGGGGTTTTTATTCAACAATTTATCCTTTTTTACCAATTTTAAAAATGATTAATTTTTTCTTTCTGATTCGTCCCTAAAATCACAATTTTGAGGTATACACGATCTAATTTAATGTGGGACACCCTGTAGCATACTGTGTGAACACAGCTGAGGTTACATAAATTCTTCAATAATTCAATATATTTAATACATAAGAATAAATCCATAAATCCCTGATCAGGTTTAAAGGTTTAAAGTTGTGATTTTGACACGGAACTGTACAGGATACAGTATATTTTATGAGGCTCCACGGGAATATCATTTTTAAAATTATAAAGGCAAAAAGAAAACACGAAAACCGTAACCGATGTTAGACCCGTTAATATGCTTAATACAAGCAAACGTTTCAAAACAAACAAATAATACGCATACTTTTTATGGAAGAACTCCAGAAGCCTCATAGAATCTCAAAATAAAAATTATGCTCACGGCTATAAGTTAACTCTATGGGGGGGGGGGTGCTTTCCACCCCTCGCTTGTGTTGTTTTCTTCTGAATAGCTTAAAACGGTTTACATTAGCACGGTAAAACTTCTTCACTTTTTCAAATTCAAAGTTGTGAACATCAAATGGGATGGAGATGTCCTATTTGATGAAAGAGGGGGGGGGTCACTGTTTTCATTTTTGATTCAAATCTTCGATTGTTTTGGATGCACGCCTAATTAAATTTCGAGTTTCTCAAAACTTAAAATAAAATTTAATTTTAATGACCTCTAACGCATGTAGCCATAGTTAAAACATTTTCATTTTGGAGGTCATTTTAGGTCATTAGAGGTCATTAGAAGGTCAAACACTGGATTCGTTGTTGCTTCTGTATTCCCTGGATTCCTAGCTTTCGTTTAATATGCATAAAGCCAAAGTGGAAACCTTTTCGATTTGTTGAAGTTATTAGAGATCATTAGAGGTCATTAGAGGTCATTAGAGGTCATTAGAGATCATTAGAGATCATTAGAGATCATTAGAGATCATTAGAGATCATTAGAGGTCATTAGAGGTCATTAAAATTCAATTTGATTTGATTTTAGGAAATTCAAACACTAATTCGAAGATTTGGACCAAATATGAAGGCATGGACCCCCCCCCCCTTCATCAAATAGGACATCTCCACCATCCCCTTCAGCTAAATTCTTTTTATGCATAGGGTAGGGTGGAGAATGGTCAAACGGCGGATCGGTGTTTCCAAAAAATAAAAAATGGTTAATAACTTTTTTATTAATTAATTAATTAAAATTTGTATATTTGAAAACTTGGTAAAATAACATGTGTCTCATGTTAATATTTGTCAAAAGTAAAAATATTTATTTTTAAACATTTTTTCCTTTTTTGACTTTTTAAAAATCCTGAAAGTTTTTTTTCAGTGAGCAGGCCATGCAAAGTTGGACTAGGGACATGTATCACACTCCCCTATCTCAACTATAAGGGCAAAATCAAAGGGGGGTGGGACCCCCCACCCCTCAAAATTAGACAAAAATCGGGATAGGGTTCAGAATCAACTGTAATCACTTAAACCTAACTGTATACCTGGGAAATCTCCAACGATCCTTTGTAAAGAAATTTGATTTTTTCAGAATAATTTTCTGGGTTAAAACTCTCCCAATTCGCTCCACAAGAATCCTTCTAATGGTTTCCTTGGATTTTAAGTCTGTTAGGAAGATAAAATGCAGCGCTGATCCTATAAATGATCGACTTATAGAAGAAATTCTATCGTCGTGTTCGTCATATTGAAAATGGGCAAAAACAGCTCAATAATTCTGTTAGAATTTAACATTCTGAGAGTGCAGAACAGAGATTAGAATAGAAGGGGAAAAAGCCTCCTCGGTATGAATTTGTTCAGTCCCGGAAAAGGAGTTCAAAGAAAAATCACAAAAATACAGTATGGTCCCTGGACATTAGAGGAGGTCATCAATTAACCTTTTTTATGTTACACATTGGAACAAACCAACCCCGGTTTTAATAGGGTCCATAAGTCCAAATATGAAAAAATGGTGGACCAGCAGTCTTCGGTGGATTGCATGTTAAAACCTAAACCAAAATTTTTTTAAAAACTTTTTTTACATATCTCCTTTATTTTAAACTTTAAATAAAATTTGCAAGCCCGAGACCCGACTTCAAAAATTCCAAATACACATTTAGGTTTTTTTTTTTGATTTTTTGATAGTTCAAATATTTCAAAAGATAAAGGTAGTTTGAAGATTAAGAATTTGCTTTTTTGGATCTTTTAGCACCTAGATTTAAGCATGATTAAATTAATTTTTAAGATAATACTGTTCATTTTCTAAATCTTAAAAGTCCTAGAGCAGATAATTTGACGATGATTACCATTTAATACATTTTTGGGGCAAAATAAACAGATTTTAAATATAATGAAAATACAAATTCACAGAAAATGAAGACGACATTAAAAAAAATCTTTCATAATTTCTTTTCTGAGGGACTATTCCTATTTGCATTTGCTTAAAATAATGGTAAATTTTGTTAACTATTTAACTATCCAAGCCCTTAGCTTGAGTAAAGGAAAGCTCGTGAAGTATACCGCAGTATGGAAACAGTACAAAAAAATGGCAGTTTTACACTTTTTTCGTGTTAATTCCTCTCTATACTAATCTATTCTCTTTGACCAATCCCATTTGGAATCCGGAATGGAATTTTATCATGGACCCCTTAGCATTTAAGTGTTTTGAAATAGTTTTAAAATAAAAAAAATATTACTTGCCTGTTGAGCTGTTAAATAACGATTCTGTAAATATTCTCAAATCCTTCACCATTTTAGTGGATTTTATTGGTTCATTTGGTTTGGTGGATTTTATGGATTGATTTGGTTTGGTGTATTTGGTGGATTGATTTGATTTGGTTTGGTGCTCGAAATCATTGTATTCCAGATCAACTAGAATCATACTGAAGATGCATCAAAGAAGTAAAAATTAAAATTTTAAACTAAAGAGACTGTGATCCAAGTTCAGCCTCCATTAAATATGTCTGATTAATCACGGTGCCCTTAAAACCTTGACTAGAGATGGACACGTTTGACTTTTTCATTTCGCTCGTTTATTTTCAATCTTTTTGTTTTCTAATTGAATGATCGTTTGATAAAATCTTTCATTTCGTAAAGTCGTTCGTTTAGTAAAATTGTTCTTTCGCTTGGTAAAAAACTATTTTTTCATTTCTCTAAATGATCCAATTTGTTCGCCCATCGTTCGTCCATGGTTTGTCTTTTATTGAACGATACCTATTTTATGGGAAAAAAATTGTTTGTTCTCAAAGATTTTGTTCGTTTAAAAAACAACGCCCATCTCTAACCTTGACCAATATATAGTAGTTTTATATCGGGAAAAGTGTTACATGGTATAATTTTTAATAACTTTCTTAACTGCAGAAACGCATGAGTCCTGAAGCCACTTTTAAAAAGATTCCAAGGTTGAAAATACACAATTTTCAGCTTATTATATAAGGATCTCATTCATTTTTGATCCGACCAGGGTGTATAGGGTATCAATGAATTAATTATGTGTCATCATGAAATTCATTTCAAATTTGTAATTACAAACGTAATTTAGTTTCTTTGATGAATTTCCTTAAATGAATAAATTGTTCCCCAACCTCTTGCAGTTCTGCAGCCGGCACAAGGTCGTCTTCAATTACCTTATAAATTTTTATTCAATAAAAAGATAATTTCTTATCAAAGAAAAAAACGTGATGCTTGTTTTTTTTGTTTAATTGTGCTAAAATAAAGAAGCCCTCTCTGCATTAATTTTGTGCTAAATCTATGTATAAGAATGTCACAGGAATCGAAACATGGGTAAAAATTCCCAATTTTCTGAAGTCCTGTAGACAAAATGTCACTGATAATAAAGTCCTGGATTTTTTTCCCTAAAAAATATGGGGGCTGCCATTAAAGTCTCATGAATAAAAGATCACTGAAATTAAGGACTTTTTTCCACGGGACTTTTACAGAGCCAAAATTTAGGAATTTATTTCCGAACACTTTTTCTGCTGAGATCTTTTTGGGTGGGTTACCATTGTGCTATGTAATATTTTCAGCTTAAGGACTGTTATGATTAATTTGTTTGTTTAACAAAAAATAAGTTCCACACGTGGATTTAACGGTTCTACGTCAATATTCCAGAAAGCTGTGACTTTCGATCACAATCTGACCCATTAAACATAATTTTTTAGCCTTTTTTCTTAAGTACTTTTTTGTTGGCATATGCATTTTGAATAAAAATGCGGGACAATTTAGAGGTAAAACATTAAACAAACCCGTAAAGTAAATGATTATTGAATTAAAGACCAAAACACGTTTGATTTCAAATATAAGAAACCGAATGCTCCTCTCTCTGGTTAGTCCAGTGTGTCCATTACGTCACTGTCAAATGTAATTATTCACCATCCCACTAATTATCTTTTTTTTTTAATGGAATAGGCTTTCAAGACGATTCTCTGACAACAATAAAAGCATTTATAATTTTCATCAAAAAGCGCTAATTTCTTTGTCGTATTTGTAAAACTCAAAATTTAGCGGATTTTTCTGCAAACATAAATAGATTTCTGAAGTTTTAAAAATCGAAATTTTTCAAAGCAAAATTTTTTACTTTTACCCGTCAATAAACCTTCCCTGGGTAAATGTGAGTTGCCACAAAAAAAAATAGGCCCGATCGGTCCAACCGTTGTGATTTGTATCAAGAAAATAACAGACAAACAAACAGGCCCACTTTATTTTTATATTTTCTCATTGAAATTTTGATAAGCAGAAACTATAGCAGATATATACCTATTACCTGCAGTATTGGTTTGCATAGTATCTACATTTTTAAAGAACATTTTTGGTATATCTATATATATGTATATAATATTTGTTTGAAAAGTAGCTGATAAAACTGTATGCTTTATATTTGTTTGAAAAGTAGCTGATAAAACTGTATGCTTTATCACAACATCCTATTCGCATTCGATTATTTTAATTTCGTGTTTCTATTCCATAGTTTTATGAGTCCCACTGTATTCACAAATGAATAAAAACTAACCTCATCGTATACATCGATAAATGGGTTTTCTTCTAAACACACCTCACCAAACATAAACACAGTAAACACTATTAGTTTAATCAACATGATTAATTCTAAACATTTGTATTCTAAAACGTTTGATTCGTACTTTGTAGTATCTGCATAAAATCTATTGAATATGGTCGAAACTTCGATACGACACCCTGAGTTCTTTTCGAACTACAGAAAGCCTTTCGAAAAACGAAGATTTTGTTCTCAAATATCAATAAATTGTGCGGTATATATTTACACATTATTATATCTCTCACTTTAATTCAATTAATTTAAAATACTTGAGTTTAATTAATTAATTAATTAGAGCTAGTTGTTAGTTTTTCTTGTAAGAGTGCAATAGATTGATCCCTTATTTTTGTAACATGTGGACTGTCGAACTACTCGTACTCTCGACATTTTTTTCTTTTACATGGCGGACCCCCCCCCCCCCCACCCCCCGTACACTGTTTTCTCTTCATCTGTACCATTTCTTCACCTAGATTCGGAGGAAGAGTGGGGGGGGCGTATCAGTGAAAGGAAGGGGGAGGGTGGGGAGGTATGCAATTATGCTTGTCATCTTTTTTGGGGAAGGTAGGCAATTATGTTTGTCATTTGCTAAGAAAACCCGCTAGTTAATACAAATGGATCATCCCGAAAGTTTTTTTTGATTTCATTTTTTTGGCTACAAAATACGATTTGATTATTTGTTGCTTATTTACATTATTACAATATTTACACAGTCATTTAGCAGGATAGAAGCCAAGTTTTATGTAAACAGAAGTTAGAGAGGCATGATTTGTATAAAAATATGTCCATATATATGTCTGGATAATGTTTGTTTAACCAAAATGTTAATTTCCTAAATCTTGAAATAGAGCTTAATCTTGTTTAAGTATAATATTATGATATTATATTAATTGTATTAAAAAAAAATATTTGTTTCCATTAAATTATATCGTCATTTTTTTTTATATTTAAAGCATTATAATATAGAAGAAACTTTAATATTTTATCAGATATTTCAAACTTACCGAGAGCATTTTTTTCGAAGTGTTGACCATGATGTTAAAGTTTCGATCATATTGTTTGAAGTTTTGATCTTGTTGTTCGAAGTGTCGATCATGTTGTTCGAAGTTTCGATCATGTTGTTCGAAGTTTCGATCATATTGTTCGAAGTTTCGATCATATTGTCCGAACTTTCGATCATATTGTTCGAAGTTTCGATCATCTTACGTTCAAAGTTTTGATCATGTTGTTTGAAGTTTCGATCATATTGTTCAAATTTTTTATCACATTGTTCGAAGTTTCGATCATTTTGTTTAAAGTTTTGATCATAACTTTCGAAGTTTCGGTCATATTGTTCGAAGTTTCGACAACATTGTTAGGTATATATAAAAAATTGTGAGATATCCCTTACATTCATTTAAAAATTTCGAACCAAATTATCGGGATTTAGAAATGCTGCATTTGATATATTAAAATTCAAACGCAAATGCTACCCCCCCCCCTTTACCGTTTCAAAAATCACTTCACCAATTATTTTTTCGTCATTTTATCCAAAATAATTGTTTTGTTTTAGAATAAAAATGAATTTTCGACGAATCAAAAAATGTGTGAATTATATTTTTATAAACTGCATTTTAGGAAAATTTCCTCACCAAGTAACTTAACTCTTTCAAGGGGTGGGGGGGGGGCGTTTTTAACAGATTTAGTATACAAAGTTTTGACCTTTCTATACCTTTTTCTATTTTTAAATTGTTGAAAACTAATATTTTAGATTTGTTATTGTTTCGGGAGAAATTGTAATTTCAGTTTTATTTATGCTGATTGCTATAAACTATATAACATTCTCAAGCTTGTCAAATGAAGATCATCTTTCTACTTCCGAGTCTGTTTCCTTCCCACATCTGGTTCCGTATATACCTCCAGTACCGTACATACCTACAAATCATGCAGGTAATTTCATTCATGTACAGTGTACACGATAATACACGATTGACAGCAGTACCCTTGAAACCTTTATCAGTTCAAAAATTAATTGAGTTTTCTAGCTTCAAAAGTTTTTAATTCTGATAATTCCAAAATTGAAAATAATTGGGTTTTGAAATTATAAACATAGATATCTATTTCATTATTGATCAGACAAAGCTTTTACGGGTGTCGGGTACGTTGTGAATAGAACATGCAACTCTACCAATGAAGGGATACTTAAAACTACGCCTATAGTTCCTTAAAGGAACTGTAAAGGAAAAATGAAAAGGGTAATGGCTGAAACCTATGAATCTCAGAAGTTGAACGTTACCTATAAGACAACTATGTGATGTTCCTGTCTCGAGAAATTGACCTAAAACTGCGTTAAAATTATACCAAAAGGTATATATGTAAGATATACGTCCGTATCACGTGACCAGAACTCTCTCCAATGACAGTGCAGTGTACTGGTCACGTGATACAGACCGGAGGCACGTGACAATAATACTGCACTGCCATTGGTTGGAGTGCTGGTGACATGGTCCGGACGTATATCATCAGTTATATCTATTAAAATTGAAACATTATTCAATTCAAATAATATTAGGAGCACACCTGAGTTTCTCAAGCTCCACTAGGATATCGTCGTTTTCAGATTGGTTGAGTATTTGTTGAACATGATCTGTTTAATATTACGAATCTTACACAAAATCTTACATTTATACGTTTTGGTATAATTTTGACACAGTTTTACATCAATTTTTTGAGATAAGAACATCAGATAGAACTTTTATAGGTCTCAATCAGCTCCTAAAATGCTTAGGTTTCAGCCTGTACCCCTTTCATTTTTCCTTAACATGTCCCTTTAAGTTTGTCATGAAATTAAAAGGATTTCAAAGCTAAATTTTGGCAAAAAAAACTTTAAAATCGACATGGCTTTTTCGTGTTTACAAAAATTAAAAGTAATTATTGAAATATTTATGCTTTAATGTAGGCAAATGAAAAGTTCAAGAACTGAACAGTGAAAATATCTCTTTTTTAGATTTAATTTGCCTTTTTTACATATTATTAATACGTATTCTTATTTAGATAGTTTTGAAGAGAGAAAGTTGAGATTACAGGTGAAAAGACATGGCCCTTAAAAAGGATTTCATCAAATTCTTCTTAAACGATTCATTCAAATAATTTTGTGTATTTTAGAAAGTTTGTGAGATGTACAACAACCCTATTAATCCGTGGTACAGTTCTTTGTACGGAAGGAATTGGTTTACAATTAAAAAATGAATTGAGCCACATTTAGCGAAAGAGGATTTTTCTGTAAATCAAAATTGCCATGCGGAAACCGGTTTTTGTTTTTAAGTCGAAAAATTGACTAATTGCAAGAAATAGCTAAATTTCTCCAAAATACGTTGGGTTAACAAGATTTGTGTTAAAACATTGAATTCAGAAACGTTGAAATCACCAATATCGGTTAGAAATTACCTCAAAATGAAACAAATCCATGGATCTAGATTAAACAATTTTTAAGATTTTGAAATGAAAACAAATTTATTGTATTTAGCGACTTCTAACGCATCTTTAAATACCCATATCATATTTTGAAAACATTTATATTTCTTTAAAAGGATATTTTTTATATTTTTCCGCCGTTAAAGCCATATTTTTACAGAAATACTGTAAAAATCGACCCCCTTAGATATCATGCGCAGTGCTGCCGCAGGTCGCTTTGTTTACATTCCTCCCAGGAACTGCAGTACACAGTATTCCTTGCGAAATGACAATTTGATTAAATTAGACTTTAAATTGTTTTAAAAGTGTTCTCCAAAACTCAATTTAGTTTCAGGTAATTCCGTTCTTTTAATTATATAAAGAGGATTATTATGACAATGTTAAAATAACAGTACAATGAAGAAGTTATTGCAGATCAATGTCGTCTTTGAAATTGATAAAATAATTCTTAAATCTGATTTTTAATTTCTAAACGGATCAGAGACACGAAGATTGTGGATTCTCTTCCTCTTCCCATTCATTTTTACATAAAGGTTTTTTTTTACCCCACAATGTAAAGATAGAGAAATTTTCTTTTAAGTTTTAACATTTCACAATTGAGAATTTTCATAGAAAAGACCACGTATGCTCAAAATAATAGAATGAGATAATTTTTTTTAAATTTCAAAAAATATACATTTTTTGTTCACCTTAATTTGTTTCAGGGTAATCAATTCCTGTTTTTGACTGTTCCAAAAGCTGGATCAACGTCATGGCGAGGGTTTTTCAATAAGAATACTGAGTTTAATGCAAGCATAGGTATAGATATATACAGGGTGTCCCAATAAACATGGGAATTCATTGACGAATTCGATATCGTCTTTGTTATGAATTAGCATTGTAATACCTAATTTTAAAAGCCATAATATTAATAATTCTGCTAGAGTTTATTTTATGCAAATGGTAAAAGACTGTAAAGATGTGTCTATGATGTCTCCGCAAGATGAACAGTGAAGACGGACAAGTTTATTCCGTTTGTATACTGTAATTTTCTTGTTTTACTTTGTTTCCAATTGGAATTCCGTTGCACGGAATTGCGCGAAATTACAGGGCTTGCAATTGCGCGAACGTACAAAAACATACATTATTTAAGGTCGTCGCAAATGCATTTGCGTTGAAAACCCTAGATGATACTTATTTAGTGCTTTGTCCAAAAAACACTGGTCTTATCAGTTCAGTTGTCCTGACGTTTATTGGATACAAACAAACATAGAAGTCAAATATATTTTATAGAACTACAGGGTGTCCCACAAACATGACAGTTGGTATAGTTTAAAATGTCTTCTTCCATAGTTTGTTAAGTTGTTTTATACCAAAGACAATAATAAAAATATTATATAGGAGTCATATTAGGGTAAAATTAACTTCAAAGTAAAATATATTTGAGCAAAAGATTTTTTAAACAAAATAAACTTCAAAACGACATTAAAAACTATTAATCAAGTGTCATGTTTCGTGGGACACCCTGTATGAAGAGAATAGAACTCGCTAAAGCTGTCCTAGTGGCTAGTATGTCACAATAGAATGTGATATATCACCCTCACCTGTCTGTATTAATATATAATTAAATGCCTATTTGAAAACAATGATTGAAGTTTAGAAAACTAATTTAGTTGAATAGTCATTAAATTGATTAGTTTCATGACCTCCTAATCTGCCAGCTAATACGACATTCTGAAATGTATTTAAACATATTCTGCCAGAGGCCGAAATTTAAGACATTTTAACCATGGTTAAATCAGATTCTAACCATGTTAAGCTGATCGAAGACGACAGAACCATGGGTAAAATCATTGTAATAGTTTGCAGCATCAACGGAGCTCTGACTTTTAACCCTAGGTCTATCTAGGGTGAAAGTGGGTTTAACCATGGTTAAATAGACGCGCTTTCTAGTTTTAGACTAAAGTTTCTTGATGTCAACATGATCGTGGTATAAAAATACACAAATGATTGGTGCTTCTCATCAAAATTATTGCATTTTTCAGAAAAAAAGTAGTTTTTTAAATTAAAAAGTTAAATTAATGGAAAAGGGTAATCTAATTTGTAATGTCATTATTTTTCATTTCTCAAATAAAAAAGTTAGCCTTTACATTTTTGATAATTTTTTTTCAACTCAATCAAACTTTTTCTTTAATATCCTTTGTTTTCTACTTTTCAACATTATGTCTTGGTTGACTAAAGAATATTTTCTGATTAGGAGGGAATCCAGAATCATTCCGTTTACCAAACCAAGAAATTATTCTTCAAGTTCGACATCCTTTTGGAAAATATTAATTCAAATATCATTCGCCACCATTTTTTCAAGCTGGCCCTTTGATTAACAACAAATTCCGATAGCAAACACACACACAACCATTGGAAAAAAAGTTCCTTTTAATCACAATTTGGTCAAATTTTCGTTCAGATTTTTCCATAGCTATTGTTGTGAAAGTGAAGCTGATAATTGTATTTTTTAATCATTTTTTCATAATTTTTTGTTTTTCAAAAATAAAGTTGGTAAAGGTTTTGAATTAATGATTTGAATTAGAACGTCTGATTTCTGCCTACCGGTAAGATTTACATGATACAGGGTGTCCCACGAAACATGACAGTTGGTGAATAGTTTAAAATGTCTTCTTCCATAATATGTCAAGTTTTTTGTTACCAAAGAGAATAATAATAAATATTTTATGGCATCCATGATTATAGTAAAATATATTTGAGTAAAGTTTTTAAAACTAAATATACTGTAAAAAGTCTTTAATATCTAATACATTGTATGGAAGACGACATTTAAGACTATTTAACAGCTGTCATGTTTCGTGGAACACCCTGTACATCACAGCTGAGATTTGAAAAAAATAACTTACTCTCTATGCAAAGATGAAAATGCTCGATTCTAGGGTTGTTAATCGTTTTTGAAAACGATCGTTAAACGATCGTTTTTTTATCCGTTTTTTAATCGTTTTCAAAAACGATCTTTTCGTTTTTGAAAAAAACGATTGTTTTTAAAAACGACCCACTCGTTTTGAACTTTAAAAAAACGAATAACGTTCGTTTTAGAAAACGATCGTTTTTTTAAAACGATTTGTGACCGTTTTTTATACGATTATTTTTTAAAAAACGATCGCTTTTGAAAAAACAATCATTTTAGAGAAAAAAATTGTATTGACAATTATGTTAACGATCGTTAATGAAGGGTAGTCGTTAACGATCATTAACGAAGGGTTGTCGTTAACAATCGTTAACGATTTATAAAAACGGCCGTTTTTGGAAAAACAATCGTTTTTGAAAAAAATACATGCAACTTTTTTTAATGTCGTCTTACATGAAGTTAAAAAGTTGTGGGGGAGCTTAAATTTCTCGATATTTTCTTAAAAACTACTCAATGATAAGTACAGATGCCCTTCAGGTCGGTTTTCTCTCTTCGTTAACGATCGTTAACGAATGGTCATCGTTAGCCATCGTTATCGAAGGGTCGTCGTTAACGATCGTTAACGAAACGATCGTTTTAAAAACGACCATTTTTAAAAAACTATTGTTTTTAAAACGATCGTTTCGTTTTCGATTTTTAATCGTCATTTTCATAATGAAACGATCGTTTTTCAAAAACACGAAAACGTTTACATTCCTATTTACAGCAATACTCTTAAAACCTTTGACTGGCTGTATCATACCGGGAAAAGCCATTTCATAAGTGTAAATTTCAGAAATTTACAAAAAGCAAAGTGTTAGCGCAGAGAAATGTGTGTAAGTAAGGCTTGGGCTTTAATTTTAAAATCTTAGCTCAGTTTTAAAATGTTTTGTAAAAATAGCAACATTGTAAACTGATTTTTTTTAGACATCTTTTTGAGTCCAAGGGTTGGGAAGACATGCTGCAACCTGAAGATGAAATCAGGGAAAACGTTTTTTTCAAATTTGAAAAAAAATTGTAATTCAAAACCGAAAGACTAAAATAATACCGATTGCTGTAAACTAAGAAATGTCGTCTTTCAGGCAAAATCTTCCACTCGGTTTTTGGAGAACAAAATTAACTGGTGAAAACGAAAACGAAAAGAATTCTTTTTAACGATGAATTTCGTTTTTACTTCTGCTTAAAACTTCTTTAAACTTCTAGGAAAAATATTGTTTTTACGTTTTTTGATGTTTTAAATGTTTCCTTCTGTGTGTTTACAACCATTAACACATTCATAAACCTTCAAAAACATTTCTGTGGCGCTTCGCGCCGTTTACCCCGTTAATATTGTTGAAGACTGGACTATTTCATTAACTGTTAACAACAATTGTTTATTTTGTTATAACGGTACCATTTACCGTTGATGAAAATTTTCCGTTAATGCGTTACTAAAATTGAGATAGTTTACTAGCAGTAACTTTTAAGAAAAACGAAGTTTCATTCTAACCCTCTAAAACTATACAGCTACCTGATATTTTATTTTTAAAACAGTTGGAACCAACCGTTAAAAAAAGGCTTTAAAAAGTTGGAACGTTCCCATTTATTATTGATTTGACAAAGAAACAATGCAGGGAATTGGAAATATAAGGAAACAGACAGTATAAATTTCGTACAATCGTCTCAGAAGTCTCATCATTTGTGGATAACCCTGTATATCCAATATCCAATTTAATCACAGGATAAAATGTTGAATTTTAGTAAAACTTTACTTGCGAGGTTACAGAATACATCATGGGTAGATTTCATCAACCTAGTGCTTGACAACACATTATTCAGGTATATTAATTATTTAATAAATAATAACAATAATAACAATGATAACAATAATAACAATAATAACATTAACATCATTAACAACACTAACAACACTGACAACAATAACAACACTGACAACAATAACAACAACAACAACAACAACAACAACAACAACAACAATAACAACAACAACAACAACAACAACAACAACAACAACAGCAACAACAACAACATTAACAACAACAACAACAACATTAACAACAACAACAACAACAACAACAACAATAACAGTAACAACAGTAACAACAGTTTAACAACAATAACAATAATAATAACAATAACAACAATAACAACAGCAACAACAACAACAACAACTACAACAACAACAACAACAACCACAACAACAACAACAACAACAACAACAACAACAACAACAACAACAACAACAACAACAACATTAACAACAGTGACAACAGTAACAAAAGTAAAAAAAGTAACAAAAGTAACAAAAGTTACAAAAGTAAAAATAATAAAAATTATAATGCAGAAACTTAAAGCTAGATGTTCTGTATGACGGTGCAAGAGATTTTATTTTTCAGGTGAAAAAAATAATTTTAAAAAAATTTATTGCGGAAAATCTAGTAAAAGAAAAAAGGGATACTAATTTCTTCACACTAAAGGGAGTGATCGCGAAAATGAAAGTGGGTTAGACTGAATCCTAGCTTAATTAAATTTGGATTCGATCGCTTCTAATTAAGGGTGATAATTATGTAGTGTACACTGGACAATGAATAATCAGAATCTTTAAATAAATACAATTCATGTACTTTCGAAGATGTTAAGCATTTATCAAAAAGGCTTTATCCCAAAGTGGAAACTGCCCAACTGTACAATTTCCCAATTGTGCAATTTCCCAATTGTCAATTTCGCTCGGCCCCTAACCCTAACCTATAAATAAATTAAAAGTAGTTAAAAACAAAATGATTTTAGTCGATGCTACTACTGCACTGGGCCCCTGTCTGGTTTACGTCATCTGTTTGCAAACCGGTTTCTTCGCCAACCATCACTATCAAAATGGAGAATTTAGGCAACCATTTTGTTTCTGTAGCCGTAATTTCAAATGACTTTTTTTATGGCATGCCCGATTCACAATGGTGCCCTTTATACCTTTTATGATCAATGACGTGGAAAATGTCGTCGTTTTTCTTGAGTTACTTGAAAGTGTTATTTTTGAGTTAACAATTATAAAATACACGTAGTAATTCCAAAATACACGTAGTAATTCCAAAATATAGTCTACGTAGTTCTTATTTTATTATTCCCGAAGCTATAAAGAATTTTGTTAGATTTTGATAATTATGGTTTTATTTAATGAATTGAAATCTGGCGAAATCTTAATATCTCAGGTAATATTGACAGTAGATAAAAAGCAGACCACATTTTTGAAATACCAGGACTAGGAGAATTTTGTGATTATTGTTTCAATAAGGATAAATTGACAAACTATTAGCGCAAATAATTTTAAAGATCACCCTGTACAGTGTACAGTGTACAGTGTACACGTGTATACGTGTAGTCTGTAGATTAGCATGAAGCAGGAACCGACCCCTTCCACCTCAACATATGGTATAATGTATGTTACGATCATGGTGATCCATTAAAAAAACCTCTGAACGATAGATAAAGAATAATACGGATAGAACACTAAATGTCGTCCTTTCACAATAACCCTGAGGCAAGTTAGGCAGAAGCCAAAGAAGTTACGCACATGCTCTCTCTATGCCTTGTCATTTAACACGGCGTGCGCGGAACTCCTTTGGGTTTCTGCCTTAGGATTGTGAACTAAAAACTCCTAGATCTTGAAAAGACGACATCTAGTGTTCTATCTGTATTGTTATTAATGTATGCTCTGAACTGGCTGATGTATACATACAAGCAAAAATTGTCTACACACAGGAGATTATTTTGAAGAAAAAAATTTGATGTTGTAGAGTAAAAAGTACATTAATATGACGTTTTTTCCCAAATGTAACAGGTCGATACCATGCTGAATATTAATCCTTACTCCAAGCACACAGAAAAAAAACAGTATTTAAATTGATTTTAATGCAGACTTCTTGTTTTTAAGAGCTTGTCTAAAATTAGAACTTGGTGTCCTTTCATAAATTGAAGATTTTAAGAAAAATATTTTTTTTCAATTTTACGAAAGTTACATATTCCTCATTAAAACTATTGATTTTACGAAAGTTACATATTCCTCCTACTATTGATTTAACGAAAGTTACATATTCCTCCTTAAAACTATTGATTTTACGAAAGTTACATATTCCTCCTTAAAACTATTGATTTAACGAAAGTTACATATTCCTCCTTAAAACTATTGATTTTAACTAATGCTAACTAATAATTTGTTATTATATGTTTTTACTTCAGAATCTGATTTTGGCCTTCTGATGACTCGACTAGGTCTGGATAAAACGAAAAAATATTCTTTAGACAAAATCATTTTCCGGGGGTAAGGGAACCAATAAATCAAATAATTAATAAATTATTAAAAAAAAAATGCATGTAACATTTTTGTCGTTCTCTCGAATTTCCCAAATCAAAATTTGAGACAAATCTGTTAAAGGCTTCATAAGTAATGATCGGACATACAAGCAAACAAACAGACACCAGAACTAACAGATTAACAACAATAACAACAGCAACNGGATTTGGCTGCAAAATGTCCCTTGAAAATGTTTATGTAGGAAGGATTTGGCTGCAAAATGTCCCTTGAAAATGTTTATGTAGGAAGGATTTGGCTGCAAAATGTCCCTTGAAAATGTTTATGTAGGAAGGATTTGGCTGCAAAATGTCCCTTGAAAATGTTTATGTAGGAAGGATTTGGCTGCAAAATGTCCCTTGAAAATGTTTATGTAGGAAGGATTTGGCTGGTGCTCACGGGAAAATTGCTTCCTCTGTGCTGGTGGAAAACTATTTCTCCCAGCTGACAAAAAATGAGGTTGGTTAACAATTTTTGGTTTTTTAGTTCATATTATATTAAACTTATTAAGAAAAAAAACATAGAATTTTTAAGAAAAGATATGTGTACGTTGACTAGAAAAATAAATAGCGAAAAGTATTTGAACTTTGTAAACTAAGTTTAACCACGTATCCTAAACTTGAACCAGAGAATTAGTTCAACTACGTCTCTCTATTTACTAAATCAGCAGACCGGTTTAGATGAATTTGAGCCAGGTCTGGAAATGGTTCAACCAAGTGTCTTGAAACGGTGAATCAAAATTTTGTCTATGTCCTGAAGATGCTAACTACACTGCAGAATTACGGATTTGAATCGACATTAGGTAGTTCAGCAACCTGCTTCAAATTCATTGAATTCGGTCCCTAGTTTCTGAAAAGAGAAAAAGTCTTGTTATTGTGATGTTAATTATTATTGCTAAAATTAAAGAGATATTCAATTTTCCTCAAATTATGAATTTAATCTTTTTCAAATAGTTCTAGAATTGTATGATAAATGCATTCTTGTGTACTGTTTCTTTAGTAAATACTAGCTGGAGATCCCAGCATTGTCAAGGTCTATATTATTATTAGTTACAGTTACTACCGCCGTTTACTGGCGCTTGGTACACCCGGGTAAAAAAATCAGCCAATTTGGGCAAGCCGTTTGGCAAGCAATAACGAAACCACATTTATATGTATATATATATATAAAACTCTTCGCTCACATATGTACATATTGATGTTAGGTAGCTATGAGCCTATGACTGGTCCCAAAAAAAAAATTTTAAATGCCAGGGGCACTGCAAGAATATAATATATATATTAAGAGCTTAACTATATAGATTTAGCTGATTGTTCCTTTAAACTGTTGTGTTCAGGTGACCCGGTTATATGAGATGTATGAACTAGATCATAAGCTTTTTGGTTACTCACCTCAACCTTATCTAGATGTAGCTAAACAGTGATCTATAAATCAATCAATCAATCACATCAGCCATTACACTAATTAATCAATCAAACATTAAATAAATTGATCAATTGACCAATCAATCATTTAATCAATTGATCTCAGCCATAACACCAATCAATCAATCATTTAATAAGTTGATCATTTGACCAATCGATCATTTTACCAATTGAACAATCATTCATTTGATTAATTGACCAATCAATCATTTGAATGATTGACCAATCATTCATTTAACCAATCAATTAGTTAATCAATTGACTAATCAATCAATTAATTAATCAACTTATCATTTGATCAATTGATCAATCAATATTTAATCAATTGACCAATCAATCATTTTATCAACTGAAAAATTAATAATTTGATCAATTGACCAATTAATCATTTTATTCATTGACCAATCAATCATTTTATCAATTAACTAATCAATGATTTAATCAATTTACCAATCAATCTTTTTATCAATTAAAAAATAAATAATATGATCAATTTACCAAACATTATTATAATCAATTGACCAAACAATCATTTAATCAATTGACCAATCAAAAATTTGATCAATTGACTAATCAATCCTTTAATCAAGTGACAAATCAATCATTTGATCAATTATACCAATTAATCATTTAATCAAGTGACCAGTCATTAAATCAAATTAGCTATTTTTTTAACATATGTGGACAATGTTCATAGTTTATTATTATGTCTAAACTATTAGTTTGTATACTTTGAAATATAAATAACCTTTTAAAGATATTTGTATCAATAAAACAAATGTGCCCAGCTTAGGTTGCATTTAAAAATTTAAATTAGTAGCAAATTACAATTGTACACAGTTTAACCAAAGCTGTAGGACCAAACGTTGTGACATGCAGTTGTATATTGCACAATACCAACAAGCACATGCACATGCAAATCGAGGAATTAAATCCCCGAAGAAAGGTTATAGTTTCCAACTCTAGATACGACTAGATGGAATTTTTTTTCATCTACAAATTAAAAAACTTGTTATTTTCTTCGTCAAATAAAGCTTTTATTGTTCTGCTTCATTACAGGTAGAAGACAAAATTAAATCTTTAACATCATATCTATAAATAAGAAAGCTCTTATTGCAGTGAGAACCAGAAAATTCTGGAATAGGAAGACGACTTTAAAGCAGTGTATTTGATGTTTGATGTTTTTGCACAATTTATGTGTCTCATGTTTGTTGGATTATTTTATGTATGTATAAATATAAACATATATGTTTACAACTATAGCTGACCAAACGCCTAGCCTGGACCAAATTGAGTGAAATTTTTTGGGTAATATTTAGATTTTCAGATTTTGAAGTTTTTTTTTCAAATGCTACGCACAACGCCCATAGATAAATAAATAAACATAGATAGCTTATGTACGTAAAATCTTCAAGAATTGTACAGTCCGCGAACTCATACTTCTAGGGGTCAAAGTGTACTTCCATGATAAGCGGGGTAGTTTGGTGTTTTAATTTAACTATTTGAACTACAATATTTCACTGAGCAATATATCATATTGACGAGAACTGGAGGAGGACATGAGAAGGACTAAACTAACTTAAATTTCTCTCTACAAAACTCATGTACACCACAAGTACTCAATGACATAAGAACAGCCAATGTTCACAACCGACCTAGTTAATCTATATAATAGGAATATCTTTAAAACATCTCTGTACATTTATATCTTTCAAGATGAAAAATGTCGTCTTATGCGCAATCTATCTTTATCTATGACAACGCCGGGTTCTTCAGTTAGTATCTCATATTTAATGAACTGAAATATAGAAAATTACTTGCGTGGGAACTCAGCGCTGCCAAGATTACTTAAAGTTACTCTCTCCGTTTACCCGCACTGAAACGATTTTACCGGAAAACTAATCTTTTGCTATTATATTCGATCATTTCAACTTAAAATCTCAACTAAAAACATTCCCGTGGGTCTTCCGAGTTCCCAAATCAAAATTTGAGGTAAATAGGTCCTGGGGTTGCTGAGTTATGATCGGACAAACAGATAAACAGAGATTACAACTTTATATATATATATAGATACTGAAATCCTACATTTGCAAAGTTTTTTACTTGATCGTAACGATTTCAAATGTCGTCTTCAGTGCAGTGTGGAGGTGAATGTCCAGTTATATTCAGTTATAATTTCGAAAACACTGTTTCTTTAAATCTTTATCATCGAGAACGAGAATTATGAGTTTGTTTCATCTTGCTCCATTTGAACAAGCTAGAGGTATAAATACAGTGAGAGTTAAAAAACATTAAGTGTCTTAATTTCTATGGCTATGCTTTTGTGTCTTAATTAAATCGTACAAAATCATGATTTTTAAAAATTTATGTTTTCCCCAATTAATAATACCTTTATGCTACTGAGGGAAAATTACTTTCGAAAAGAGGGAGATGATCTTTAAAAAGCATATTATCCCCTGTCTCTCTAGCGCCCAGAACCAATTTTTTATTTAAACGGTCTTGTAATTTTTATTGACCCTACTTGTAGAGAGAAGCATTCCCCCATTTAGAAAAGAACCCTGAAACCCTTTTTTATCAATAACGTAAAAAATATATCTTCTCGTTCTATACAGTGATAACCAGATAACTCTTAGATAGGAAGACGACTTTTATACTCAATTTAGGACTACAGCTAGTTCAATGAACATTAAACATGACAATTGTACAGTGTAAATAGACCCATTTCACTTTAAAAATGCTTTGCTAAGTTACTAGTAACAATATTTGCTTTGTAACAAAATCAAAACGCTTAGGTATTATTTAAATGTCGTCTTTCTGTTCCATTGTTTTCTGGTTATGACTGTATAATAAAACAAGACATTCGTATTTATGTTCCCAACAGCCGGCGAAACTTCTGGACCAAATAGGCTGAATTTTTTTAGGGAACCCAGGGGTGTCCCGGGAGTAACATACGCTAAACAAATTCAAAAATTTTTTTCAGCTTTTTTTTAATAATTTTTTCTTTCTTTTTTCCACGGGCAACGCCGGTCATTTCAGCTAATATTCTTTACAACCTGAAAATTGTTGTTTCTGATAATCTTCCTGCCCTTTTGCAGGGAATCCATGCTATAGAAAATAATCAGTTAGGGTGCCGTTGTTGATCGGATATACCATACCAGGCTACAAATATCATGTAGAATAATCTTACAAATTGTCAAATTCATGAAAAAAAGTACGTAGATATTTATATCTAGGTTCTGGAGTACTTAACCCTGACAGCAGTAAGCTTTGGAACCCGGATTTACAGGTATTTTTACAAACCGTTGTGAATAAGGCATGGAAGGGGGCTACTTCATCCTTATCCGTCTGTTTTATAAATAGGAAGATGATACCCATTATTCGGGGAAAATGTTGGAAACTTCTAATTTTAGAACAAAATTCTCAGAGTCGACACATATGCGACAGAGGTAAGAAATTCATGATTTGATTTTCACTTTAAAACTGTTATGAAATAGTTTTTTTTTAAATTCTCGACAATTTTTTAATATATTTTTTTACTATAAAACAGAATGACAAAGTTGCGCGGCAGTGAATCTGGCTCGACAGCTGAAGAACAGCCAGATGTCGTCTTCTTTCCAACAGCTGACAGTTCACCACAAAATGGCGGCTGCCAGGTAAAAATAAACAACAACTGTCATTAAGAAGCAAATTCAATTTTTATGCTTTAACTTAAAATCATCCTATTTAGTGAATGGAATGTTTAAATGGTGCCCATTCCATTGACTGTCTCAATCAAAAAAAAGTTGTCATAAAAAGTTGAAGAAAAAAAATCTGTTGTTATAACACAGGACGGAGTTTCTGGAGGAAGTGGTTTTAATACTTTCGGTTTTCTTTCTTTTCTTCTTGCTGCCTTCAATGCTGTCAGGTAATAAGGATTACATAACGATCGTCAAATCTGTCAAAATAATCATGAAAGACCGGAGTCATAGAGAATAGAATATAAATTAGAGGTGAATTTAATGAATCTCTCGGTATGAATTTTTTCAGTCCCTTTCAGCCTGAAAGGGAGTTCAAAGTGTACAAATCATGTAAATGTTCACAAATTATATGCAGTAGAGTACATTAATACAGTATATTCCCTAGACTATTCATTTCAATTTCGAATTTTTTAAACTGTTAAATAAACTTTATAATGAATTAGGTGAATAAAAAATATCATTTGATTTATAGTTATAACGGAAAATCATCGTTTGTAAAGTGGAAGGCATAGAGTCTATGTGAAATGATCATTGGTCAATGATGAAACCAACCTATTTCATAATTTGGATTGAATTTGTATTTCAGTGTAGTGTCAAACAACAACAACAACCGCAATAACAACAACAATAACCGAAATAATGACAACAATAACAACAACTTCCAGACCTTAGAGAGTTCTGTTCAGGGTATGCAGATGGTTAATAGAAAAAGAAGGTAAAATAGAACATACAAAAAATCGAAAACTAAATATTTATATTTTCAGTTTCTTATTAAATGTTTACAATTGTGTTACATAATTGTATAACATTTAATGAGTTACTGTTGTTATAACAAACTAGATTATACGAAAATTGATTTTAAAACTTATTCTAATTAAGTACTGTGTATTTGAAATTAGAATAATAAAAAATAATATCACGGAAATAATCATTCCGTGTTTGCTAGCGCTCAGGTGCGGATACGGGGGGAGGACATTCGTTCCCCCCCTGGATTTGGAATTTTTTGTTCCTATTTTCAAAATAGCTTTTCAATAGCATGCTTAAGGGAAAGAGTCTTTTTGAGTATTTTAAGTCAAAAAAAATCTTGCCCCCCCCCCTCACTTAAATCCCGTATCCGACCCTGCTAGCGCTTGAAAGCGTTTACATATTTCATGTTTTTTGATTTGTTTAACTGTTTAATTAAGTGATACTGCTGTTTGAAAGCTTGGGGGAAAAATTGGAATCTAAACTCATTCTCATCCTGTTGATATAAACGACAACAATTGCATCAAATATCTAAGCTCGGAATGTCGACGGAATGTTTTTATTGTCATGTTAATTACAATCTTTTGATAATCAAAAAAAAATTTAAAAAATACTGCATAATTTGTTTAGGGAAATATCTGAGCAGAGCTTACTTCTAAATTTACCCATGGCAGTTTTTAACATGATCAAAACTGATTTAAATGTCACAAGAAACAAAACAATTTCGAACGACGACATTGACAATTCTATACAAGACGACATTAAAGACTCAGCTTCCAAACACCTTATTGAGTCTGTGCAAAGGTTTATATCTGCCTGGCTGAGGTAAATTATCTAAAAAATTTGTTTAAAAAATAATTATTTTGATATTTTAAAAAGTTTTAAATATTTAGAAATCAAGGGACGAAAGAGAAACAATGTCTCCTGAAAAATATATGTCAGGTAAAACTGTTACCCATAAAACTCTGGCATAGGAAGACGACTGATAGAATTTTTTGCTTTAAATAGTCCAATAAGTTTTTTAAGTCGGTAAAAAAAACTTAATAAAAAACGTATTAGTATGACCTCACATCATAAAACACCGTAGGCTAACCCTGCCCCACCAAGCCAAGGAGAAACCCCGGAACATGTTTTGATATTCAACCATGCAGTAAATAAAGCCCTTATCAGGTATGTATCGGATTAAAGGGACTATACAGGGTTACCCACTACTAATGAGAAAACGACGACCTATCAATGACTATCTGAATGTTAGATTTGAACTTCTGCCTGCATAATAATGATTTCGTAATTTAAAAAGCGTGTTTTCAAATGCAGGAAAGCATGGGTGTAAGAAAAATAGCTCAATAAATTCTGTACAGTCGTCTTTGGAGTCTCATCCTTTGTGGGTATTTCTGTACCTAATTTTAACTTTTTCACGTGTTCCTCCATTGATAAATTGGCATGTCTGATAAACAGCAACACCCTTGAAAGCTCTTTATCTGGCCAAGTATATACATCACATGCTTTTGTTTTTTGAAAATTGACTTTTTTCATATGTGGATTCTCCACAAATGTTATTTGCGTATTTTAATGGAGGAATTATCAGAAATTAAATACTACTTTTAAATTATAAAATTAATCAGATGAAGAATTCTAGGGTACCGTTGTGAACTTTGTCATCCCTCTCATTAGTGGAGGATCACTATGAATAAATTCTATACAGTGAGGGAGGGGGTGCAGGGCCGGCATGAGCCCCGCAAAATGGTCTCCGTATTAACAAATGGGTATTTAAAATGACCCGGCGCTACCCCTAAACGTTAGAGTAGATATTTTAGAAATAATAAAGAACATTTTTGAATAAAAATATTTAATCTTTAAATAGTTATGCAGTTATTTCTCTAATTAGGTGCAGTACTTCTATAATATCTATTCTAAAGGATAGAGGTACGGCCAGGTCATTTTTAATACTCATCTGCAAATCCAGAGGCTTTGAGACTTCATTTTGCAGGGCTCATGGCGCCCCTACACCCCCCCCCTAATACAGTCATGCCTAGAAAACCAAGATTTATTTCAAAACAGGATTCTACTGGAGGTGTTTTTTTAATTTATTTCTGGAACATTTTTTCCTTTCTACATTATCAGACAGTAAAATTTTGTTAAAAACATTTGCTTTTTCGTAAATTTTCAAACTCTATGAAAATTAAAAATGAATTTAAGGCATTGCTTATAATCCTAACTGTTATAAACAACCTTTAAGATCATGTTAAATTCTTACAATTTTGGGCCCGACTGGTTCAGACTCTTTTGGACAACATTTTTGGATTCCAGAAATTGACTTCGTGTGCCCATCTCACAACGTTTCCGTTTACACCTTTGTCTGCTTAAGGATGAATGATATATCAATAATTTTCTAGTTAAAAATTTATCTAATTATTTCTCGTTAATTGGTTCTGAAAAAGAGATTGAAACAAAAAAACAATATCTTTTTCCTCGCCGTTCAGAAAGATGCATCATTGCAATTTGAATTTAAATAATTGTGAGTGTTGTAACCTAATGTTGTATAGAGATCTTGGTTTGGAATCAGAAGAAGACGACTTTCTAAAAGCAGCGGAGAAAGGTAAACAAAACCAAAATGGCGGAATTTAACAACTAAATAATATTCATAAAAATAGGTAAAATTGCAAATAACTTAAATTGTCACCAGGAAATTGTTGAAAGTGAAGATGTCCGTGTACACTTAACAGTTTGTTTGCATTAAAGGGACTGTAATTGGGTAATTTTTGGGAACCTTTCATGCAAAAATGGCGATGCCCGATTTACAACGGTATGTACACCTCTGAAATAATAATCTACATAATAGTTTGCTGTGATTAGAATATTTCACTGATTTTTTTTATGTGAAAGATGTTTCCCATGTCATGGTGTGACATCCGTCTTGTATTTACATTACCGCCCAAAGACCGTACACTGCAGTACAAAAGATGCGCACACCTCTGAAATAACTTTCCTTGCATTATAACCTTGGTTCTAGGTAAATCCGGTGAATCCTGCTCAGAAATATATCCACTCTGCCCTTTAGATGAAGAGCTAACAATGGAAATAGGAAAACAATCCATTAGTTCAGAGAAATATTAAACTACAGGGTGTCCCACGAAAATAATTTGCCGCTGTCATTCATAAATCAATTTTAGGAGTAGAATTCTTGAACTAATTGACTTTTTCGTGCTGTCAAAATTACCAGAGATATGAAATATTTTGTTTTAATTTATTTAAGATCTATGATCAAAGACGATATTCAAGTCAAGTCGTCTCTCAAGTGTGTGGGACACCCTGTAAATTTGACTTTCATGAAAAAGATTTAAACCAAATATTTTTTTTCAACATAATGTAAAATATAAAATATAAAAATTTTTATTGAAATCCTTTTACAAAGATTTAAAAAATCTGCTATATCACGCTGTTAAAAGTGTTAAACCAATTTGATTCATAGCAAGCCATTATACAAATGAATTCTAAACATTACTATATTCGTAAATCTAAAGCTTATTAGAGTTTCAGGTTACATCACTGTTCTATTGGTAGTTTACTTGTAAAAAGTAAACTACCAAATTAATTTTTGGAATTTTTCTCTATTTTTTATCTGAAGGATTGTTTTTAGTTGAAAAGAGTCTGCTTCTGCCAGCGTCCATGTTTAACAAATTCTTCTTTTAAACTTCAAATTTAGTATTAACCCTATCTCTACTGGGGTACTTAAAACCAGGATATCCCATGTTTGATGTCCAAATATGACAAATGATACATCATTGGAAAGCTCTTGTGCTCTACTTTTAGAATCTGCAAAAAAAATTCAAATTTGCAAAAAAAAATTTTATCACAAAATCCAGTTAAATAGTAAAAATGTTTGCAAAAAAAAATTTGTCCAAAAAATGAAAAACTATACATTTTTGAAAAGCCCTTGACCATGCCATTTCAAATATGCAAAAAATTTTGCAAAATTTAAAATAACCTGATTTTTAATCAAGAAAAACTAAAAAAAGGGCAAATTTCCTTTGACAGGTTGTTTGCAAAAAAATTGCAATTTTTTCGCAAAACTTGTGCAATTCGTTTCCTTATGTCAAAGGCTTTCCAAAAAGCTAAATTTTATCAAAATCTGACAAGTGGAAGTGGGTCAAAACAAAGATTTAGTTTGTTACAGGAAAAAGCAGTCATTCAGGCAGTGTGCCTGAGGACTCAGGCAGTTAGTATTAAAGCCCGGTTTTAGGCCTAAAGGGAGGGCTTTGGGTATGTAGGAAAAGTTAGAAAATTTCAACAGCCTCAGACCAATACTTTTTGAGTTATGTAAAAAAAAACTACAGAGGGGGTCAAATTGACCCCCCCCCCCAGCAGGAATAGGGTTAATAAAAAGCTGGATAAAAAGACGTCTTCAGTTCAATCTTTTAAGTAAAAATCTCAAAAATAGTTGTAATTTTACAAATCTTGTAATCATGATATATCCACTTTATAACTTCATCAGTCCCAGGATACCTTACTGCTAAGCAACGTTTCTAATTTATAGATTGAAAAAACGACGGATCTTATTTCTCTGTATTCCCATGATTACTGTAACATATTATGAATGTGATATATCATATCGATAATATAAATAAAAGTTCAAAATTTTAAAAACATTTATTTTCGCTTAATTTAGTTTTTTTTCTATTCTTTTGTGTTTTAATTTTGAATTTGTTTAAAGCATGTGGGTCAATGTTTGAAAATGGTGTCTTCTGAAATTTTACCAAATGGAAATGATCTAATTAAACAGAGCTGGGTACTTTTTTGTTGGTAACTCATGATCCTGATGGCCTGATCTCGATATCCAGGGTACGATTACAATGTGAGATATCGAATAAATATTAAATAAATCTGCAGATTAACAAAAGATCTAAATTAAGCATTTATCTCAATATCCGTGCAATACAAGAGTTGTCATGGCTCAGATTATATTGGGCATTAGTAGTGATGCTAGTCATCAAATGGATCAATTCTCAAAGGTTTGATATCATCATCATAATACTGGTTTCTGGGGACTGTGTAGTTCTCAAACCTTTCCCTTTCCATGGACTCCCTAAACAAAATTGATTATTGGGTCTGTGATCGTATCTTTAATTGACATTCTATTTATTTAAAGATTAACCATAACGTGATAAAATGAATTTATAACAGAAACGATGTAACATATTTAGTAATTTTTTTGTAGAACCCCAGTAGATGTTTCTTATTATTTACAGCTTCGGGTCTGAATTGTCAATTTTCAGAAATAAAAATTAAAAAAACAATTATTGATATAGTATTTTTACAAGTTTTTGGTTTATGATACTTTTTAAACTAAAGGACACATAAATTAAATTATCTTTCCTTTGCTAAACCAAGGTGATATTACCTTTCCATTGCTAAACCAAGGTGATATTACCTTTCCATTGCTCAACCAAGCTAAAATTACCTTTCCATTGCTAAACCAAGCTAAAATTACCTTTCCATTGCTAAACCAAGCTAAAATTACCTTTCCATTTCTCAACCAAGCTAAAATTACCTTTCCATTGCTAAACCATGCTAAAATTACCTTTCCATTGCTAAACAAAGCTGAAATTACCTTTTCATTGCTAAACAAAGCTGAAATTACCTTTCCATTGCTAAACCAATCTGAAATTACCTTTCCATTGCTAAACCAAACTGAAATTACCTTTCCACTGCTAAACCAAGCTAAAATTACCTTTCCATTGCTAAACCAAACTGAAATTACCTTTCCATTGCTAAACCAGACTAAAATTACCTTTCCATTGCTAAACCATGCTAAAATTACCTTTCCATTGCTAAACTAAACTAAAATTACCTTTCCATTGCTAAACTAAACTAAAATTACCTTTCCATTGCTAAACCAAGCTGAAATTGTTTTTTATATTCTTCAAACATTTTCTTCTCATCTTCCAGAGCTTTCCTTTCTTTCTCAAGTTCAAACTTTCTTTTTTCTTCTTCTAGTCGTAATCTGAAGGATTAACCTTTCTTTAGCATTTAAGAGACTAAGAGACTAAGAGACTGCGTAAGTTTAAGTGACCCTCCATAAAAAGAGGGGAATGCCTGATTTACAAAGGTTTCCTTTGAATATCTGACTGATCATAGAGTACAGAAAACTATGTGTGTTTATCTCTAAACTAATGCTTGAATTACCGAAAACCCGAAGTTACCGCTAGCGTATACTGTATGAACTCAACACAGCACTCAGAAGTTAATATCTATATTCCTATGATTATCGCGGGTTTAAATAATCCAATGTAAATATTCATTTTTGGAAACTTCTCTAAATATATAACAATATTGTTGTTTAACAGCTTATAAACAGATTGTTTAACAATAACAAGTACTGTAGATAATTAAGAAAAAGTTCGGCATCCTTGATCATTTAAAGGGTATAAAGGGTACTATTGGGAATCAGACACCCACTCTATACAAAATTAGGTTCACTTAAAATAACGCGCACAGTAACTTGAATTGTAAGGAATTGTCTCTATTGTAGACAAATATCGAGAATATTTCATTCATTTTCAGGAAAGCGTAATCTGAAATTTGGGTTTCTAATGTCTTTGTTAAATTACGCTAAAAAAATAATGACTATAGATGAATAACAATACAAAAAGAACACTAGATGTCGTCTTTTAATGATTTAAGGATTTTTCGTTCACAATAACCCTGATGCAGCTAATGCGAATGGGAGCTCGATTTTTAGCACGGTGCTATAATGTCAGCATATTTAATTTAAAGTGTGATGATTACTTTATGGCACGTTAATAATAAAAATCATCATGAAGTGAGTAAGAATGATAAAGTACACAAATTTATTTCTAAATAGTCGTATTATTTACATTTTTTAAACTTCACCTTTCTTCCTCTAAAACCTTTTCTTTTTCAAGATGCTCCTTTTGGTCTTTCACTTGGTTTCTAAATATTAACAAAATGTTGAGATTAAAAATGATTACCGGTGTTATGACATTTGATTGTAGGTCATTAAATAGTTAAGGCCGTACACGGGGGAGGAGGGGGGCAGTGCTCCCCATAGACCTGTAAACTGTAGAACTCAGAGCTTTGTCACTTTTCAAATCTGAAACTGAAGAGGTAAGAGCATAAAAATTAGTTTGCTGTTTTTTTCTGCTAGTTTTGTTTGAAGGAGAGATAAAGTAGTGCTTGCTAGGGTTTTGGACTGTACGTGTACCTTTAAAGTATCCAAGAAGCAAAATGTTTTGAGCTTACAGTTCAAAGTTTGCCCCCCCCTAGGAGCTCCTGAGTGGGGGGAACGTGCGTCGCCCCCCCCCAAAAAAAATTATTGGACATGACATTTCATTTACATAGCAATTCAGAGATAATACGTTTCATAGACAGGAAATTTCATAGATAAGACATTTCATAGACAGGACATTTCATAGATAAGATGTTGCATCGACAGGACATTTCATAGATAAGACGTTTCGAAGCAGGACATTTCATAGATAAGACGTTTCATAGGCAGGACATTTCTTAGACAGCACATTTAATAAACAGACCCTTTTATATACAGGAAATTTCATAGACAGGCCCTTTTATAAACAGGACATTTCATAGACATGGCATTTCAAGGACCAGGCTTTTGATTGATAAAAAAATTTCTTAAATAAGAAAGAGAAAAATCTGCCTTAATTGTAAACATACCAGAGCATAACATATTGAGAAATTGTTTATTATGGAAAAAGAAAACTATACCTTTCTTCTTCTAAAATTCTTAGCTTTTTATCTGCACTTTTTTCCAGTGCTTGTGTATTCTCTAAAGTAAAAGAAATCAATATAATTCAAAATAAATATTAAGAAAGAAATATATGTAGAGAAAATAAATTCTAAAAAAATAAATGTAAACAAATAAATAAATGTAAACAAACAAACAATTGTAAAGAAAAATATTAATGTAAACAAACAAACAAAGGTAAACAAAAAAAAAAATGTAAACAAAAAAAATCAAATTGTAAACAAACAAACAAATGTAAACAAACAAACAAATGTAAACAAATAAGTAAATGTAAACAAACAAACAAATGTGAACAAACAAACAAATGTAAACAAACAAATAAATGTAAACAAATAGACAAATGTAAACAAACAAACAAATGTAAACAAACAAATAAATGTTAAAAAACAATCAAATCTAAACAAACAAACAAACAAAGTTAAACAAACAAATAAATGTAAAAAAATGTAAACAAATAAATAAACGTAAACAAACAAACAAATTTAAATAAAGAAATAAATGTAAACAAACAAACAAATGTAAACAAACAAACAAATGTAAACAATCATAGAAATGTAAAAAACAAATAAATGTGAACAAACAAAATATGTAAATAAACAAATAAATGTAAACTAACAAGCAAATGTAAACAAACAAAAAATGTAAACAAACAAACAAATGTAAACAAATAAACAAATGTAAACAAACTTCCTACCCATCATTTTGAGTTCATCCCTCTCTAACTGTTCAATTCTTTTCCTCGCTAGTTCAACTCTCTTCAGCTCTAACAAGAAGTTCCTTTCCTCTAACTAGGAGTATCATTATTATTAGTGTAATAATTATTATTGTTATTATTACTAGTGTAATAATTATTTATTATTATTATTATTATTATTATTATTAACCTCAAGTTTCTTCTGTGACTTCTCTTTATCTAACAAGAAGTTTCTCTCTTCCTTCTCAAGTAGTTTCCTCTGCCGGTCAACCTCGGCTAGTTTCTTCTCTGCAGAGGTCATCCTGGAATAAGAGTAAGGTTTCCGATTTTCCGGAAATGTTGAATTAAACCCTTTTTTGCTGCGGAAATGTTTATTTATTAATAATTGTTTAAAGATAACTTCTCATTTGTTCTAAAATGTAATGGAAGTTTTAAACAGAACCTTAATTTTTGTTCTAAAAAAACAAATAATTTTCTTGGGTTCGGAAAATGTTAAAAAAAATCTTTTCTTATTTTCAGAAGTTTACTCTCCACAAGGTTCTGAATGCAGGTGGCATCTTTTAAAATTTCGCCAAACATGATGGAGGGTGTATAACGAAGAAGAAAAAAGGAGAAGAAGAAATGTGGAACTGTCTAGGGTGTGAGCATCCAATATATTTGCACCTATAATCATCTATTCTATTTTAAAAATAATATTGTTTAAATAAAAATTAAAACATAAATGTTGAAAATGTATAAGAAGTTTAAGAAAAAAAAAATTGACTCAGAAATGTTAAATGGAACTTTTTTCTAGTTACAATGAAGGATTAATCTAAGACTGTCTCTCTTGCATCTCGATCATAAAATGTATTAATATTTATCTTCTAGTTAGAAATAGTTATTTTTACCCAGGAAACAGAAGTGGATGATACAACTAGATGTTAAATAGATATCCTAAACTCCGCTTCAAAACTCCACTTAAACTCGACTTTAACTCCCATTTTGAATTCCAGTTTCAACCCAGATATGGCATGACTATTGCCAAAAAAAACTCTATTTTGAAATTTGATAAATACTCCACTCCATATCATCCAAGATATTACCCTAATATCATTCATACATCATCGAAAAATCATCCAGAAATCATCCAGAAACCATCCGGATATCATCTAGTCGACATCGATTTTTACAGCCCCCCAACTTGGTGAAAAGTCGAGTTTCAATCCAGATATAGCACGACTATTGCAGGTGAAAACTTCACTTTTAAACTCTATTAAAACTCTACTTCTGAAAGGCAAAAGTCGTGTTTTACTCGATTTTAACTTGAGTTTTTGTTTGCTGGGTAAGATTATTATGGGGCTTTATTTATATTTAGAAATGGTTAATTTATTAATTATGTTAATTTTGATAAATTATTTTATTATTTAGATACCTATCCAAGGTCTGGGTTCCATTAGAATTATAATATTTGTAATGTCCGTTCCGATTATCATTCTCCATTCGTTTTATGTCAACCTTAAATATTTAAATATTTAAATACAGTGATAATCAAAACAATGGAATAGGAAGACGACATTAAAGCAATATTTAAGTGTATTTGATGTTAAAATTTGTTATACTATTATAAAATCACTATTTATAAATCTATATTATTTATAATTTATTTCTAACCTGCAACTGCTCATGTTCCTTCTGTAACCTCGCACTTTTAGCTTTCCAATCCTCCTGAAATATATATAAATAATAAACCTGAGGTTTATGTTTGGATTTAAACCTATAATTACCTGAGGTTTAGGTTTGGATTTAAACCTATAATTACCTGAGGTTTAGGTTTGGATTTAAAACTATAATTATCCGAGGTTTAGGTTTGAATTTAAACCTATAATTACCTGAGGTTTAGGTTTGGATTCAAACCTATAATTACCTGAGGTTTAGGTTTGGATTCAAACCTATAATTACCTGAGGTTTAGGTTTGGATTTAAACCTATAATTACCTGAGGTTTAGGTTTGACTTCATATCCTTTCTTGGAGAATGCCGCCTCATACTGAGTGTGAGAGACCTAAAGTTTTTTTTTATTTCTAAAATAACAATTGTAATAAAAATTTAACAAAGAAAATGAAACTTTTCATATCAATAAATTCTTACAATAAAACGCATGTACAGCAAACAAAGCAAACTAATTAGGATGCATTTTTCATAATTGCACACAAATTTGCATCCCGCTTTACAGTAAAATCTTGGGCGGATTTGTTTTATATCTAGCTCTGTCGAAATTGCACTTATACCCTTTTCTGATTCGCAAAAGCGTAATTTGCGGTTCATTTTGGCAACCGACAAAATAAGGATTAGCGAGCGAAATTTGTGCAAAAATTTTTTAAATTTCGGAGGAAACCTTAGCTTTAAGCATTGTTGAATATATTTACCACGTCTGCAGTTTTAACCCTGTACAATGATCCTTCTCTACTCCTCTGCTGTCTTTTAGAAGATAACAACTCTCCCTCAGGACTCTGGAATACTTTTAAAATGTAAATTTTTACGTCTTTTTTCGAATAAAATGTCAAATAAAATTTTTAAGAGCATTTTTGTTTTGAAACATTTAAGATGTTTTTGGTTCAGTTTCATTGTTAGCCACACTCTTGCTATTTATTCCCATTGTTTGGCTATTTATTAACATTGCTTAGCTATTTATTCCCATTGTTTGGCTATTTGTTCCCATTGTTTGGCTTTCTATTCCAATTGTTAAGCTATTTATTCCCATTGTTTGGCCATTTATTCCCATTGTTTGGCTATTTATTCCCATTGTTTGGCTATTTATTCCCATTGTTTGGCTATTTATTCCCACTTTATGTCAACATTTCTTTATCTGTATGGGTTTATTTATACACTGTTTGCTTTTTCATACCCATTCATTGTTTTTTTTCTATTTTTTGTCCTATTGATCACCTATTTTCTACTTTTGATCAGCTATTTTGACTTATTGTCAGCTATTTTGACTTATTGTCAGCTATTTTGACTTGTTGATCAGCTATTTGGCCTTTTAATCAGCTATTTTGTCCTGTTAATCGGATATTTTGTCCCTTTGATTAGCTTTTTTGTCCTATTATTCAGCTTTTTTCTCCTACTCATCTGCTATTTTGTCATTTTGATCAGCTGTTTTGTCCTTTTAATAAGCTATTTTGTCCTTTTAATATGCTATTTTGTCCTTTTGATCAGCTATTATGTCCAATGATTGGCTTTTTTGTCCTAACATGTTTTTTTTTGTTTCCCATCGTTTGGATTTTAGTCGAACTCGGCACTCTTTGCCTAATTTGTCCCAAATTAAGTTATTTTGTTCCCGTTTCACTGATCGGTTATTTTGTTCAAATGTTTGGCTATTTTGTCCCTCTTTCAGTCTAATAATTGTCCCATTATAAAAAATTTTAACCCACTGTGATATATGTTATATCACCTGTATTGTTCGTGTACTCTCCACAACAGCACTTTTACTCTTCCGACCAAACTTAGGACTCTGGAATGAAATAAGAAAATTTATCAAATCATAAATCAAATCTATTTAAAACATAATTAAACATTAATTCACCTTTACTCGTTTTAAATATTCCTTATCGTTAAATATCTCAACTTTCCTAAAATATAAAAGAATCAAACTAAAATGCCCGCAAGGAAAGCTCGAGGTGTAAACAGTATAGATAGGTTTTGATTGAGCTCATTTTAAAGCATATTTAAAAAATAATTCAAATAAAAAAATATAACAATGAAACTAAAATGCCCGCAAGGAAAGCTCGAGGTGTAAACAACATAGATAGGTATTGATTGAGCTCATTTTAAAGCATATTTAAAAAATAATTTTAAAAAAATATAATCATAATGTCAGATAATAGATAATTTTATTTTTATATGAATTCTTTTAACTAACATATTTTCTATTTTTTGCCCTTATATTTATACTTTTATTCATTACTAGGATGTTCATACTCATCCACATTTCCTAATTCTCATTCTCTCATCCTCGTCAATTAAAGGGACTATAAGCGTAATTTCAAATGATCTTCCTTGCGAAGATGACAACGCTCAATTCACAACGGTACCCTTAGAAACTTATCAATTTTGAATACTGATTATTTTAATAGTAGTTTCTAAAAAAGGGGGACTTGCGCATTTCTATTGCAGGAAAACATATTGGAGTTATCAGAATTTAACACTTTTTAAGCTGTGAAAACGACGATATCTTCCACATTGATGTTTAGATAACAGTTTCAAGGATGAACGTTGTTAATTGGAAGATTAGAGGGTCACTTGGAATTACGCTTACAGTCCCTTTGATTATCCTGATTATATTCCGACCTCTAATGACCTCTAATGACCTACATTGCGGAGTTTAGTGACCTAAAGATGTAATTAATACCTTGGTGTGTGGGGTTTATAGTTCCTATTTCTAGAATCTAGTTTACTACCAACATCTTTAACATTTGGACTGGGAGCTAACCCAACCTGGCAAAATGGGAAAAAAATAAATTATTTTATTTTAGTATTTTGATTAATACCAACCTGTGGATGCCATTTGCTTTTTCTAATAGGCACAGGTTCTGGGGAAACAGGGCCTAATCAAATAATAATATTGTTATTTAGGCCTTAATATAGTGCTTTAAAAAGACATAACAAAACCTTTTCATTAAACATTCATAATGCTTAGCGCCGCTCTTTCTCATAATAAAATATTTTTTTACTACAACCCTTTTTTCATTGAGTGATAACCAAAAATATGTAGAATAGACAAACGCCAATCATGCACCTCTGTCCCTTTAGTTAAAGTAAATTCAACCTATGTGTAGCATAAAGTCTGACCGCGTCAACCTTGTTGCCCCGGCTAGTCCTGTCCATAGAGCTAGGTACGGTACAAACTGGGACTGGAAAGGTTGACCCGGCTCGGAAATTCAAATGTACTACGGCTGCCCGTGCATTATAACAATACTTAATTGCTGTGTCTCATATGCATGTCATAAAATGAGTATAAAAGTCGTCTTCCTATTCCATAGTTTTCTTGTTCTCACTGTACATTATTAAAGGATAACAATGTTTTATATTCCAAAGTATTCATCTATTAATGATGGAATTAATGAAATCTTTAAAAAATCTAAATTTGTTTTGGTTAAAAATATTCGATAGTGTAATGTAAGTTACCAGAAACGAAAAGAATTTTGTAATGATGTTTGTTGTATACAAACAAGTAGACAAGACGAAGGGACGGAACACAGTTTACAAACTCTGATTTTACAGTCCTTTTAAACTTTTAATTCTGTAAGATCTAAATCTAATATTCACCGTTTAAAATGCCAAAGGTTTACATTGTTAGGTTTCAAAGATATAGAGATGTCAGTTCCATTATTAATATATGTTTATGATGTGTTAAAAAAGTAACTTACCTAGTGCACGATTGCCATCGTTATCTGGATCATAGTATTCATAATCATCATCATCATCATAGTACTCATAACCATCATCATCATAATCCTAAATATAATCATCATCATAGATGATGGGCACGAGCGCCCTAAAAGCCTAGTATATATTTATATATATGTAGATTGTAGATACCTGTGGTTTTTGGACAACAGGATTTGGTTTAGTCCCTGGCAGCACAACTCCTCCAATCTCCTGGGTGAAGAGATTGTTTACGCATTTGGATAATATGCAAAACAAAAAAGGGGAACTTTGATTCTCCTCGTAAAATATCTAGTTTTTTCATTGTTTACAGACAAGGGTCGGAGGAGAGAGGGGGTTGCAGAGACACCATGAGCTCCGCAAAAAATACCAAAATGCGGGGCGTGGAGACAAAATCGCGGAGGCTCGGAGACGTACTAAAAAGCATGGAGACGATTTTGCGTCGCTTGGAGATCATTTTGCAAATCTTGAGGCTCGGAGGTCATTTTTTCGGGGCTCATGGCGCCTCTGCACCCCCTCCCTCGTTAGTGGGATTACTGATTTTAAACTCAATTCTGAAAACAAATACGGTGACGATTTAAAGACTGTCTATAATTGGCCTTTTTCGCAATTTTTTCTTCCATTTTTTGCATATTTGCACCTAAAATGTTTTTAAAAGTAATTTTGCAATTAGCATTTGTCTGTCTGTTTTCCATGAAAGTTTAGTTTTTAAAAAACACAAAAAAAATTATTTAACATTTTGATTTAAGAAAATTATATATTTTTTTACAAAACCCTGAACGCTAATAACGTTATTAGTATTGTGGACATGACACAATTTTCTAATTCTCCCAGAACACCCTATAGCTTTGAATATAGCCTGGACATGTTTAGAGAGAGAGTTCATCGAAAAATCAAAGAGGTATAGGCTTACGGCGAAAAATTATCGATAGTGATCGCTACTAATCTTAATTCTATCTGTTGCGTCTATATGAGGAGAAAATTGCTGAAGAACGTAGCGTCCATACAAATTCAGAAAGTTGCAACATTCGACTCAGATCGCAAAAATTATCAATTTTAATTCTAAAAAAATTAGTCAGATATTACAACATAAAATCATCGATAATTTTTTGACGCATTCGTATACAGATGATATTTCAAAATATTTTTTTTATGTTTTCTGTAGCAACTTAAAACACCGATTAGTTGGCCGCCAGATGTCTCTGCTCTCCATGCTCTGAATGATTCCAGAGGCAGATGGATGTGAATAAATATATCTACATTTTGCAACAGTGCAAGATAAGGCGTGACGTGATGTTGTAAAGGGGAGGGGGGCAGGGAAGCCTTCTTATTGTCAATGTTGTTTCGCAATTTAAAAAAAATGGTTTAAAGATGGTTGTGAACTTTCACATTTCGTAAATTTAGCTAAAACACAAATGCGAAAAGAACCTGTAAAATCTTTCCCTGGGATGTTTAGAAAGATGAAAATTTCCCTGTATGATAATTGAAGGACTGCAGTATAGTTCTGGTGAATTATATTGGCGTACTAAGCCTAGGGGTGTCAGAAATGATTTTTTTGCATATTATTAAAAACTTATATAAAACTTTTAAAGTGTAATTTTTCTATATTCATTTAGTTAAGAGTTTGAGTCAAAATAAGTATTAATAAATATTGCTTTATATCTTGCTTAAACATATCGATGTGAAACCTTTCAGAAAGTAGGAAAGATTCTGCAAAAAAAAAGTTGCCAAGCCAAACAGAATTTTTATTTTGAACAAAATATTTAGAACTTAAAGAAGCTTTTCTGGGTTGCACTTTACTCTAGTTTTGCATTATTTTCATTTGTTTAAAACAGTATAAAAGACGTTCTGTTGATGGTTTAAAACTAAACAGCTGATGATTAATTGGAGGGAGGAATGGCAAAAACACCAATTTGTAATTCGAAAATCTTTTAATGGAAACTGATTGTAACAGGGAATACAGAGTGCTTTAGGGTNATCTTGCAGCTGTCAATCACGTGATACAAGCTGTTGTCAGAGTTGGGTTGTGAAGATTGGGTCTTAAAGTCAGGTTTAAGGGATTACGACCCGTGCCGAAGTTTTTAAATCGCATGCTCTGTATAGATTTTGAACATGTCAAATTATGGTTCAATTTTAAAACTGACAAAAAGTAAATCGGTTAATATCATTTTCTTCTATAGAATAAATTACATTTATATATGTATTTGTTCCTTCTAGATCGCAAAACGGCTGAACCAAATGGGACGACATGTTTTTCCTTTTTTCTAGGGAAAAGTCGTGATATCTATATACATAAAGTTATAATCTCTGTTTGTCTGTCTGTTCTATTTGTTTGTTTGTCCGATCATAACTCAGGAACCCCTGAACCAATTTCCCTTGATTTGAGAACTCGGGAGAGCCACAGGAATGTCTTTAGCTAATTTTATCGGGGAAAATATCTAAAATCGTAATTTACGACGAAGTGCGGGTAAACTGCGAGAGTAACCTTGAGTAACCTGGGCAATGCATGGTTCCCAAACTAGTTTAATGTATCTTAACCTGATCTAGGTTGCCTAGGCGGGTATTAAAGCTTCCATCAAGTATGGTAGCAACATCATCATCATCATCATCATCAGCCATTCTAAATATATTCATTACTAGCAACATCATCATCATCATCATAATCATCATCCATTCTAAATATAGTCATTAGTAGCAACACTATCACTATCATAATAATTATCCATTCTAAATATATTCATTACTAGCAACATCTACATCATCATCATCATCATCCAATTTAAATATATTCATTATTAGCAACATTATCATCATCATAATTATCATCTACAAATTCTAAATATATTCATTATTAGCAACATTAATTATCAGCATCATCATCCATTATAAATATATTCATCAGTAGCAACATCATCATCATCATCATCATCATCATCCATTCTAAATATTTTCTTTAGTAGCAACATCATCATCATCATCCATTCTAAATATTTTCTTTCGTAGCAACATCATCATCATCATCCATTCTAAATATTTTCTTTAGTAGCAACATCATCATCATCATTCATTCTAATTATATTAATTAGTATAGCAAAATCATCATCATCGTTTTCAGCATCATCAATCATTCTAATATATTCATTATTAGCAAAATCATCATCATCATTATCATCCATTATGAATATATTCATTAGTAGCATCACCTTAAAAAATAATGACAATTCTTTTAAATCTACTAAAATGGTTAGAATTAGGATGTTTGAGAATTGAGAATAACTGTTACAATGTTTACTTACTTGTTGCTATTTTATAATTATAAGAGAATAACTATTATAATGTTTACTTACTTGTTGCTATTTTATAATTATAAAAAAGCTTCACTAGTACAACCCTGATTCATTTATTATTAATCACTCTTTTAAAGGGATTGTTCATTGGTTTAGGATGGTAATTTATTAATCAAGCTTTTGAAATATGATTATTTTAATATTTTATTTATGTTGATTCTGGAAATAATTGTACAGGGTGCCCCAATAAACATGAGAGAACATTTCTTTACTTTTTTATTCATACCATGATTCGTTCAATCTTTTTGTATATTTATTCAAAACGTTTAACGCTGACTACCCTTCATATAAATTATATCACACGCAGACAACAAAAATTTACAACAAAATTTTGAAATTTTTATCTACTTTTCTTGTCCAAAAAGTGTAACTTCATGTTAAACAAAGTTATGGTTTTATAGATATGAATATTGGAAAACTATAGCTTAAGGCAACGTAAAATTTTCTTTTATTAACAAGGAACGTAGATTTAAAAAAAAATTTTTGCCCAACATTCGCTTTAAAGTAGTTATGGCCCAACATTCTTTTTAAAGTAGTTTTGTCACAAAATTCTCTTTAAAGTAGTTTTGGCCCAAAATTCTCCTCAAAGTAGTTTTGGCTCAACATTCTCTTTAAAGTAGTTTTGGCCAACATTCTCTTCAAATAGTTTTGGTCCATGACATTCTCTTTAAAGTAGTTTTGGCCAAAAATTCTCTTTAAAGTAGTTTTGGCCCAACATTCTATTTAAAGTAGTTTTGGCCCAACATTCTCTTTAAAGTAGTTTTGGCCCAACATTCTCTTTAAATAAGTTCCGTCATTTTATTTTCTAAGCAACTAAAACTTTAAGTGTTTAAATATAATGTTTTAATCATTTGAAAGATAATAGTAAATCACAAATTTCCAATTTCTAGGTGAGGAGGGGGGAAGCAGCGGTCAGGAGCCGCAACAATTTACTTTCTGGACCACATTTGAACACATTTATGTCCTCAGACAATCATGACACACACACACACACTCAAATCTCCTTTTCCGTGTCATAACCTGTCTTTGGACGGTTCTTACTTTTTTCGCATAACTTTTGCAAAACCCCTGTTGCCATTTCTTATAAAAGATTGAAACTTACTTTTATCAAAGGTTTATCTGGAAACTGCAGAGTTTTTGACCAACCTCACCCATCACGTCATGTCGTCTTTACCAGCCCAAATCCAAACTAAATGATTTCTCCGAAAAGGAAAAGGGAAAATCGAAACTAGTCTACCTATCCATTTATCAACCGACTTACTGTCAATCAAGTCTACCTATCCATTTATCAAACGTCTTACTGTCAATCAAGTGTACCTATCCATTTATCAACCAACTTACAGTCAATCAAGTCTACCTATCTATTTATCAACCGACTTACAGTCAATCAAGTCTACCTATCCATTTATCAACCGACTTACAGTCAATCAAGTCTACCTATTCATTTATCAACCGACTTACAGTCAATCAAGTCTACCTATCCATTTATCAACCAACCTACAGTCAATCAAGTCTACCTATCCATTTTTCAACCGACTTACAGTCAATCAAGTGTACCTATCTATTTATCAACCAACTTACATTCAATCAATCAACGTCGCCCTTCTATAGTTTTACAAGAGATTCTCTAAAAAAGTGTGTTTAGACTTTTTAGCTTACTAAACATCATTGTTTTGTGTTAAAAAGTGCTTTCAGTGTGTAAAATTTCCCATAAATTGGTGGGGTCGTCGATGAAACATTTTTCTCTAAAATTCCGTTTTAACCTTCAAGACTAGTCCTAATATTCGAAAATGTGCGCGGTATCATTTCCGTAAGATTTTCACACAAATTAAAATTGTCGTCTTCAATCTTCCGTATTGGAATATGTATGTTTAACAAAAAGAATGATCAAAGACGACGTTAATTCTGCTGCTTATTGGTTATCGCTGTACGTATATTAAAAATCGTTGTATTCGTCATGAATTGATGATTTTTCTTATCAGTAGTGTTTTGCTTTATCAGTATATATCGGTATTCCTTGACTCAAACTGCAGTCCATACTAATCAGCTGAATTAGGTTTTTCCAGCTTCTTTATTTCATATAGGATTCTTTAGATATTTAAGCACTTGATTGTTAAAGGTCAAATTAAAGACAACTTTGCCTGAAAGGGCAATTGTGGATATTAAAAATGATTTCCTTGAAACCTTAAATCTGATCAATAATATGGAAGATATTTATAGTATAAACTACCAGTCGATCCCGCTGTACCTGTCGATCCCGCTGTACCTGTCCGTCACGCTGTACCTGTTGATCCCACTTTACCTGTCGATCCCGCTGTACCTTTCGATCCCGCTGTACCTGTCGATCCCGCAGTACCTGTTGATCCCGCTGTACCTGTCGATCCCAATGTACCTGTCAATCCCGCTGTACCTGTCGATCACGCTGTACCTGTCGATCCCACTGCACCTGTCGATCCCACTGTACCTGTCAATCCCGCTGTACCTGTCGATGCCGCTGTACCTGTCGATCCCGCTGTACATGTCGATCCCGCTGTACCTGTCGATCCCGCTGTACCTGTCGATCCCGCTGTACCTGTTGATCCCGCTGTACCTGTCGATCCCGCTGTACCTGTCGATCCCGCTGTACCTGTCGATCCCGCTGTCCCTGTCGATCCCGCTGTACCTGTCGATCCCGCTGTACCTGTCGATCCCGCTGTACCTGTCGATCCCACTGTACCTGTCGATCCCGCTGTACCTGTCGATCCCGCTGTATTGCGTTATTAAAATTAAGTAAAAATTTTATCTAAGTTGTACAAATCTCTAAGCTTATATTTTTTTACATGAATTCAATTATGATTGTAATTTAATGAAATTTTCAAATATTTTATAAAATCATTGTTCAATAACAATATCATTTCTATAGGTTAGTGTTTGATTAAATCTGGGTTTTTTAATCTTCATAAATTGATTCATAACAAAATTAGATTTACCAATGGGTAAAAAACAAGAAATGGAATCTGAAGAGAAACAGAAAATACATAATCCAACCAAATCCCGATCCTGCACAGGAAAAAAATATTTTCATTTTAACGCTACTTTAAAAATTTTGATTTTTAACCATTTTTCAGGGATAAATTCACGAATTTTAAAAGATTCCATAAAAATGTTTTTGGTCGATTCCAAGTTTTTAAATTAATCTGAAAAAAATTCTAATATTTTGTAAAAGATGTTCTTTGTTTGCTGTTGTTTTTGGCATTTCTTGGAGGTTGGGGGGCCATATCTTATATTGCCTTCAGTCAGGTAACAGATTGTAAATCAATCAAGAAAGTTTTGAATCACAAAAAAAATCTTCTTTTACCAATCGTGCGTAGAGTGAATTCATTTTTTATTTCGTTTTCTAAACTGCTAGAAGTACAAACTATGTCTCAACCACTCGCTCAACTACTCGCTCAACCACTCGCTCAACCACTCGCTCAACCACTAGCTTAACCACTCGCTCAACCACTTGCTCAACCACTTACGCTGGTTTTTTCTTCTCAAAAATGCAATGCACATGGAAAAAGAAATTAAACTTTAAATGTCAATATATTCAAATAGAAGATAGCTTAAAATGACGTCATAAATCTCTTCAAATAAAAGTTTTCAGATGAGAAAAAAAAATAAAAAAGGGCCCAGATTAAATCATAGTTATTCCAACAAAAATTATGTTATGTATTTTTCCATTTTTAGGGTAACCCTCTTCAAATAGTATATCCGAGCAACAGCTCTGGACAAATCTGTGGAAGGAAAAAAAATTACATTTTGATAATTTAAAAATGTGTTAACTGTTTAAAAATATGTGTGTTAACTGTTACTTTCTCCTAAACGATTAAAGAAATGTCTTTACATTTTTTACTATCAAATATCCGTCTTACTTTAAACTAATTTTTTTATAACAAATATTTTTGAATTGTATTTATTTTGAACATGAAAATGTAAAATGATAAGAGATGGAAACGATGGAAAACCAAATCTTTTCTTCCATGATCTGACTAAGTGTATTTCTGTCGCTGCAGCTTTAGGTAAATATAAGTCCATTTTTGTCAGTTTTATGTCAGTTTCTTGTCCGTTTTTTTTCTTTTTTTGTCAGTTTTTGTCAGTGTTTGTCAGTTTTTGTCAGTTTTTTGTCAGTTTTTTGCCCGTTTTTTCCGTTTTTTGTCCGTTTCTCAGGCTCAAAATTCGGCGAAGTGTAAAAAATAGTTTTTTAAAATGTTTATTCTAATTTTGACCCCGACAGAATATTTGAAAAACACAAGCAAAAAACGATCCAAAAACGAAGGTTTTGGTTCGTTTTCCAACGATATTTTAGAAAAATTATTGCAAAGTTATCAAACTTTAACTGAATACTGTTGGAAGTTTTTTTTAACGAACGATTAACAACAAATATAAGGAACTCAAAAACCTTTGTTTACTTAAAAAGTGGACTCAGTATCTGAGAGGAACGTAAACAAACTTAGTTCTGCTCTCTGTTGTTTATATTTTTCCAGAAATTAACCTTATCACGGTTGGGGACCCAACCGGGATAGGGTAAATCTATTCTCTTTGGATGGGGGTCGTGATGATAAAAATCATAATAAAAACTTAAACACTTCTCCAATATTAGGTTTTTTGGACTTATCAAATTGTACAAAAAATCTGAACATTGTATGGTTTTACTTGACCAAACATTGATTAATTCACATTGAGAACTAAATTTAATGTGTTCATCCAGGAAAAATAAATGCAAAAGCAAAAAATTGGCTTAATTCGTAGGTTATTTAGCTTTATGCGTATAAAGAAATATGTGCATAAAGCACATTTCAGCTTCTCTCACGGTCAGCTTTAGTGCTGGCCTTTACAAAATGTATGTAAATTATCTTAAAGTCCTGATAAACAAGGTCACAATTTTGATCCGCATATATCAATATCAAATTTTTTAAATCCTTATTATCGAGTGCAACTTCCGGAAATTTTAGCCACTGAACCAGAAATAAGATATTATAAATCTTATTTATTGACTCCAAAACTGGAACACTTCAACACCTTATAACACTTCAACACTTAAACACTTCAACACTGGAAAGCTTTAAAACTTCAAAACTCCATAACTCCTTTTAACTCCATAAATAAATACAAAAACATTCAAAAATCTAATTTTTTATCATATCAGTCAAAAAATGCCTGCTATTTATTAATATCAAAGGATGCAATTATCCATTTGAATCTTTCATATCGCTCTTGAATGTCCTTGATTTGTTGTGGGAGGGAGGGGGTGCAGAGGCGCCATGATCCCCGCAAAAATGATCTCCGAACCTCAGGATTTGCAGAATTACCTCCAGGCCCCGCAAATACTGGTCTCCCAGCCTCAGTGAAGTCGCCAAGCCTCCCGCCATTCTGTCTCCACGCCCCGCATTTTGGCTCCAATAAAAAATATTTGGCTTTTATTTCCACCAAGAACCTTTTTTAAAAAAATTCTCAACATGATGAAATAGTTCAGAATGATAAATTAACATTTTGTATTAAAAAGTGAATTCTAATTGAGATTAAAGGCTTGTATTTTGTTTTTCTAAATTTCACAAATTCCTTAAATTGTGAAGAACTATTGCAGTTTTGTATAAAGATAGAAAAATGTTATATTATTTTAGAGGGGTCTCATATACCAATCAAAAAATATCAGCGGCAATTTACAAAACAAGGTAGTTTTTGTGAAATCCTTGTATTTGTGATTTTATCGTATGCTTTAGAAAATATTGAAGAACTATTTTTTAAAAAATTGAAACAAAGAATTAAAATGATCTAAATATCTAATACATGCTATACTAACATATTAAGGCAGCTTCGTGTCATATCTTGTTGTTTTAATAAGTTAAATTTAATTCTAAATAGTTTTCCTTTTAGCGAGAGAATTCATTTATTTTACTGAAAAAATTGATATACAGAGGTGGGAGAGGGGTGCGCAAAAACTCGTATATTATAGAACAGGTCCTCAATAATTTGCATTTTATGATAAAATGTAATGCTAAGGAATCGAGAGTTAAGAAAATCTTCAAATCATGATGCCTTCAAAAATAATAGATAAGTCGTCTATAAAGGTCGTCTTTTACTCATTCCATCTTAATGTAAACTTTTACAGAAAAACAACTCCAGAACAATTGAATGAATTGACATGTCAAATTTGTTGATTAGACGATTCTTTAAACTATGACGAAGTCTAATATGAAGAGATATATTTTGATATTTGTTTGGTTAAGCCAATAAATTTAAACAAAAAATAAAAACAACAAGCGGAGACCAAAATGCGGGGCGTGGAGACAGAATGGCGGTAGGCTTGGTGACGTCACTGAGGCTGGGATACCAGTTTTGCGGGGCCTGGAGGTAATTCTGCAAATCCTGAGGCTCGGAGGTCATTTTTGCGGTGATCATTGCGCCTCTGCACCCCCTCCCTTGTTGTGGTTGGGTGTCTTGGTATGAATATTTACAGAAGATGGCAAAAAACTGCAATATCAAAAAAAATGGTCGCATTAATTTATGTTTTGTTACAACCCGCATACAGGATTAATACATAAATATTTAAAATATGTCTGCACTGTATAAACTGGTTTTAGGGCTTGGCCCGGATTTGACAAAATGATTCTCATCTATTGAATAAATTATTGCTTTGAATTTTACTCTCAAAAATAATGGTCTGAAAAGGGAATATAGTTCCCCTCAATCTCTGAACTATGATATTATCTAGGATGTCCTACACCCCAGGTGTGTGTGGAATCGTGTCCAGAGAAGACGACCTCTCTATATGCCTGTTTAAAAGCCTCCGAAGTAGCAGGAATACCTCCTTCAACAATATGTTTAGGTAATTTCAGGTTGGAACTTTTGGGTGGAGGATCGTTTATCTTGATGGCCTTACCCGATTTACAACGGTACCAAATCAAGTATGTATTAGATATCGACAAAGAGAATAGAATATATATTAGAGTGGAATTTAGACAATCTCTCGGTATGAATTTTGTCAGTCTCTTTCTGCCTGAAAGGGAGTTCAAAGTGTACAAATCCATGTAAATGTTCACAAAATATATGCAGTAGAGTACATTAATACAGTATGTTACCTAGACTATTCATTTCAATTTCGAATTTTTTAAAGCTGTTGAATAAACTTTTTAATGAATTAGGTGAATAAAAACATCATTTGATTTTATCATTTGTGAAGTGAAAGGCATAAAGTCTATGTGAAATGATCATTGGTCAATTATGAAACCAGCCTATTTCATAGTTTGGTTTTCTTTTAATATTAATTTTAGATTTTCTAAAAAATGATGTTCCAGGGCCATAGCACAAATATGTGAAGTACAGCTGCAGTATGGAAACAGTACAACAAAATGGCCGTTTTACACTTTTTTCTAGTAAATATTCTATTCTCTTTGAATATCGATGTTTGTTTGACTTTAAAAACTGCATTTTTAATCTCAAATCATGTAATTTTATCACCATTAGGTTGGGGGAAAAGATTAGGTGGAGAAGTCACGAGGTGGGAAAGTTGTAACGGTAGGCCTAAAGGGGATAAATCTTATCTTAAAAATTAAAACTTTGAATTCCATAAAAATGACGACATTTTTTCTGATTACCCTTCACTAACCTTACTTTATACTTTATACTTGATATCTTCCTCGTCGTTACTCAAATAAGGTTCAAGGAGTACTACTGTGGGAAATAAGGCAGGTAATCTTGTACGAGAGGTGGGACTTGTTGCACGTGCCCCACCTCCCTGGGGGGCACGCATAAGGGGGCCTCATTTATGAAATGATGTTATATGATTTGGAGGGAAAATAGAAATTTGACATTAAAAGCCAAGTTTTTCATCCTTTTTTATATTTTTTACACAAAATTCAGCAAGTAAAACCCTGAAATTTGTATGGAGCATTGCGCAAACAAATCAAACCTAACTTCTCGGGATAACTAAAACTACGTCAATAATTTTTTTAAACTGTTTTATGATTTTTAAAGTTTTTTTATGAGTCACCTTCTCTAAATCCAATTTATAGCTTTAAAATTGTTGCAGGGTCAAAATATAATTTACTTGTTGGTTTTCTTAACACAAATTGAAAATGACAATAAGGAAAAATATACAGTTAAACCCTAAATAAGTCAAACATCGAAAGAATTCATCAAATGTCGTATTCTTCACTTTCTGATAATGGAATGTTGCAGATATTTAGTTTTTTAATTAAATGATTATATGGAGCTCTTTAAAACTGTTTCCGCATATTCATGGCTATTTATTTATTTATAGTATAAAACTCATTGAAAAATTGTCAAGACGACATTTGATAAATTCTTTTGATGTATGGCTCATTTAGGGTTTAACTGTATACAGGGTTGCCCACAAATTAAGTTTATTATTTCCTGAAAATTATTTTCTGAACCAAATCAATTGTCAAGTCATGAATGTACTATTTTTATTATTTTTTATATCTAAAAAGTATTAGTGTGATCTATCATTTCCATATACTGGGGGAGGCCCGAATATCTGAGCCAATTCGACAAATAAATCATAATAATGGTTGCCGAGCCCCCACCCCCTTTTCCAGGAAAGGAAAAAATAAAGCCCCCCTTAAGCAGGTCGTCATTAAATTCTCATCCTTTCTGAATACCTCTGTAGTTAATAATAATGCGGATATTACGTTTTAACTTTTATATGCGATATATCAAACATTTTAATTTCATTTGAGTCATATGCAAACAAATTCATATCTTGTGCAAATTCAAATAATTTTGGAAACTTTTTAAAATCTTATTCTCAAAGGAAATTTAAAGCTTGTGTATTTTTCCCGTGATTACAGGACATGGAAAACTTGAATTTAGGAAAACACAAAATTATTTAAACAAAAATTAAAGCTTTATAGTCTTATACACGCGCTTTTTTATAACCAGAGCCCGCGATTTAAAAAAAAAACTCGGGTCTAAACTTTCGTATTTACGGCTTAAGCTTTCGAATTCAAGCAGCATCTTATTTTCCACAAAGTTGAGTTCAAAAAACCCGGTTTAATATTCTATCTGGCAGATTTTCATGGTAGAAATTTGCTACTAAAACCAGCCAAGGTCGTTTTATTTTCATGAGGCCTAACTCCTTAATTGAGCCAAAGATCTTGCAGCTGTTAATCAAGTGACACAAGCTGACGTTAGAGTTGGGTCAAAGATTTCATGGGGTCTTAAAGTCGGGTTCAAGAAATTACGTCTCGAGCTAAAGTTTATAAATCTCGGGCTCAGGAATATCCAAAGGTTGTTGTGCACTTTCTTTTTGTTTTTTCATTCCTATAACCACAAACTGTAAACGTTCACAGATCACAATGATTCTCTTGTTCTTGTGAAGCTAAACCCTACTCAACTCAACAAAAGTAATTTTACAGAATACGTGGTTTTGTAGATTTTTGTGGACTTGTAAAAGACAAGTATCAACTACTGTAGATCTACTGGAGGAGTACAGCTTCCTTTTATCCTGGACTTTTGTAGATCTACTAGAGGAGTACGGTCCCTTTAATTCTGAACTATTGTAGATCTACTGGAGAAGTACAGTCCCTTTAATCCTAAACTATTGTAGATCTACTGGAGGAGTACAGTCCCTTTAATCCTAAACTATTGTAGATCTACTGGAGGAGTACAGCCCCTTTAATCCTAAACTAATGTAGATCTACTGGAGGAGTACAGTCCCTTTAATCCTAAACTATTGCAGATCTACTGGAGGAGTACAGGGAGTACTGTACTCCAATGTCTGATGAAGAATGGAAACTAGGGAAGGAAGATCCACTTCAACTAATCCAAGATAGAAAATGTCCGGCATATATCCTTCAGAGTATACCAGTTATAGGTTGGAATATATATATTTCAGTTTGCAGTAGATTAAATTCTTTGAACTATAACTTTATTTTACAACGATATTTGAGAGCTTTTATTAAATGTGTGTTTTTTCACACACAACCGGTGTACATTTCAATGTCCGAGATGGACCATCCTTTGCGGTCCTAGTTTGGACTGTACCGCCAATTTACAATTAGCAAAGTGGCAGAGTAGTGTGTTTTTCTCTAGGTTTTTTTATTCACCGCCGTGCCGCATGCCGTATTTTACGAAAGTTTTATTCCCTGTTAATTATTTTTTTACTTTTAAAATGCACCAATTTAAACAGAAAACTCCGCTAAAATATCAGAACGAGTAAACTTGGCGACTTTAAGAAAAAAGTTAGACGTTTAAATTGTTTATAGGACTTTTTCTTTATTGTGTTCAAAAACGTAAAATATCCCATATTAATAGAAGAAAAAATAGTTTTTAGTTGAATGATCGGATACTTGATATCTCGGTTATTTTCAGAAACAGACTTGTTATGATTTTTTAATAAACTTTTTTTTAATTTTAATTTTAATTTTTAGGAAGATGCATTCCGGATTTTGGAATAATAGGGAATTCAACTTCTGCCAACGATACAATTATTAGGAATATTTTTTTTTTATTTCGACTTTTAAAACTAGATTTAAATTTTAAAGTATGAAAAAGTTGCTTGTGTAATCATTTTTATAATTATCAAATTAAAAAATCCTTTTTCCAAAGCTTACAAGGGTAAATGTACAATGTACAGAATGTATAAACGATGCATGAAATTATGTCTACAAAATAAGACGAAATGAGTCAAAATAAAATATAGTGATGGTTTTGATGCTATACTTGATGCTAATGGTGATACATTAAATAGTCAAAAAGTGTATGAGGTATGATGAGCGACTACAACTGTAAAATTAAGAATGTTTTTAAAAAAATTGTAGACAGTTACTTCTTTTTTTTAGATATTTACATTGAATATTTTTTCATTCAAATTTTTGCACAAAGAAAAATAATTTTTAGAACATTTTTCTCAAAAATATTATCTTTTTAAGAACTTTTGATATTAGTTTATATTTCATTTTCAACAAAATTGTTCTAAGAGAGTATCGTAGAACGAAATTCCCGAGTTTCCTTTTTGGAATTTATGCATTTGCTGAACTTAAGAAATCTGGGAAACACAATCTATGTATAAATTTGGCTTGTCTGTCTGTTTGTCTGTCTGTCTGTCTATCTGTTTGTATCCAATAAACGTCAAAACGGCTGAACCGATCGGGCCCAAATATTTTGTGGGACATCTAGGGACCCCAGGGAAGGTTTATGAATGATTGAAATTTTAAATATTTGTCTCCATCAAAATTCGATCTCCATTAAATTTTTTAAAATTTTGAAAATCCAGTGAAAATCCGCGAATTATTTTTGTTTTGTTTTACGATGTACACAAAGAGAATATGTTCACAATTAATTTAGAAGATGGGCGCGAAGCGCCCTCTAAGGCTAGTATAATATAAAGAATAATGTAAAGAAACCACATAAAATAATATTTCTTAGCAAAAATATTGGTATCTACAAAACTGCCTGACCTCATTTGTGAAATTGGGTTTCCAATACCGGGTTTCAATTCGATACTCTGTTTTAAGTTTTTGGCTCTGGGATATATATCTTCTAATTCAGATATTGGAGTATATGACGGAATTATTGAACGCCAGAGAAATATCAGAAAAGGTCGAAAAGTAAAGTGAGAACCAGAAAACTCTGGAATAGGAAAACGACTTTTAGACTCAAATTCTGACTTTAAATAATTCAATGAACATGATAAACAGCAATGTGCAGTGTGAACAGACTCAATTCAGTTAATAAGGAAATTAATAAGTTACTAGTTCAGATTGCATGATTTGTAACAACATCAAATAGACTTAATTAATGCTTTAATGTTGTTGTCCTATTCCACGGTTTTCTGGGCATTTCTGTGTGACAAAAAATTAAAAAAATATCAATATAATTTATAAACTTAAAGTTATCATATAAATGATTACGCCAAAACCCTTTAACTTTTAATATTGATATCTACACCATCCTTTCTCAGAATAAAGTGAATCGTTTATTGCAATCTTTTGTTAAAGAGTTAAATATAAACACATTTACAATCCCTTTAATCCCTCTAATACCTTTAATCCCTCTAATCCAGGTGTGGGCTGATCTTGTCTCCAGCTGGTATTGGATTTTAGGAAAATATTAAACAACAATTTTTATAGAAAAATTAACAATGACGATTTTTACCCTATTTGTTGTGTTATTCTGTTAAAATTGTGACTTTATCAGGAAAAGTTGACTCCATATTATTAAATTTATCCTATTTATGATTTTTTACATAAAAATAATTGTTGATTGTCTACTACTATAGCTGGTCAGGGATTGGCTTTGGTCGTCTCATTCTTGTGGATTCTACTCATGCGATTTTTACCAGGAAAAAGATTTTAGTTTAACAATTTGTAAGAACTTTCAGGATGGGTAATTTTTGGTATAGTCGTTTGGCTAGCAAAGCTAACATAAATATAAATATAAATACATATACATATATGAGCGAAGAGCTTTTATTATATAGATATACAATTTTTTTTACAAACAAAAGATTTCAATCTCCCAGAAAAAATTTAGTTTGGAAATCAATTTTGATATATTTTTATGGCATTTAATTATATAAATTAAATGATATTAAATGAAAAATTGTAAAATTAAAAGTGCAATATTAAAAAAATATATATCTATGGGTGGCTGTTATAAATAAACTATCTGAAATGAAGGGGAGAGGGGTTGGAAATAAGTTTACCATTAAAGATACAAAGTAAAAAAGAACAATTTAAATATAATTTAGGAATTTTTGACGTTAACCCGTTAACTGACGACCTGTCAACTTACTTAGCTATAAGGTAAATAGTTTTATATCAAAGATTAGTTACTGAAACAGAACTGAAAGAGTCTGTAATTTCTATTGACCTCCTATTTCTTAGAGTGGCATATACGGTTTAAAACGGTAACCTTAAAGTTTTGATTGACCCAGACTGAATGAGATATCAATGATGTCTCTTTAAAAAGTTAATTATTTTCAATACCGGGTTTTCTTTAAAAGAGACAATAGTGAAAATTAAACACTTTTCACGTTAGAAGAACTATGATATTTTTAACATTATGGATTAGGACTAAATGTAAGGCCAGAGAAAGTGAAGGAATTAAGTCTTTGCTAAAAAATCAAATTTTCAAATCCCTCAAATAAATTCTAGTACAATAGACGTCAGTACAGCTGTATTCTGATGTCACAAGTGTCAACTCAGTTTTTGTGTCCGACAAAATTATAAAAAATAGTAATAATTTTAGAACAAAGTGCTTATCTTACGGTTAAATAAGTGCAAATTTGTGTTTTCTTTATTTTCTGTTTTTTTTTATTTAATTTTGGATACCATGTCAACTAATGAAAATTTCGTTTTTCTTGATATATAATTGGTCCATCTCTCTGTTGCCACCTATTGTACTTCATAATCTATTTGAAATCCATATATTTTAACAACCTCATGGTGTGACCTTTTGATATTTCAAACTTAGATTATTTGATCATACATAAATCATAGTTTGAAATATCTAAGATCTGCGACATTGGGTTCCAAAGATATATTGATAAAAAGATCAGAGTTTGCGGCGCGCAAAGACTCAATTCCTTTAACAAACAAACAAAAACTATAAATACAGACCATGCATTTAACTTTTGAATTTTTTAGGGACACTTGGTTGGTTTTTTTCGTCATTAGTATTGTTATTTTTATCATTGTTGCTCTCATCCTAATCTTCCTAAGGACTAGGTATGTAATCATTAAACAGACCATTATCACCTTAACCAAAAGTAAATTGCAATTAACCCCTCTTATTGAAGAGCTATTAAGAGGAAAAAAATTAGTTTTATTTTCTAAAAATATGAAATTGAATAAATTTATTTTTCTCATGTTTGTGTATAATATCATAATCAGAGGAGCTACGAGGTCACAAAGTTAAACCAGTAATAGTCTTCCGTTTTTGGGGAGTGCAAATTTTAGAACATTTAAGATTGAAGTCTTAATTTAAATTTGAAAATACAAGAAGGTTATGGTTTTCTGGTAAATATAATCAACACTACGCACTTAAGGCGCTTTGCGCTCCCTTTTCTGTTTACCTTCTTTTAACACTTGTTCACTGCAAACCAAGACGCTCTCACGCGAAAGTTGAGCATTTCCAATAATTCCTTTCAAATATAAGCGCCAGTTTAAAATGTGTATGTTCAGGGCTACACAAATTTAGAAGTGAGTTGGTGATGTAAACTCAAAGGCCATAACTGTCTAAAATTTGATGAAAACTTTTCAGAGTTGCTTCGTCAAAAAAAAAAATTGTCCAAATTTTTCATTTTTGACGTTCCAAACCTTTCCTGGGGTCATGGGAGTTGTCATACAAAGTTTGGGCCCAATCGGTATAGGAAGTAGTTATCTAGATTTTAAAAAAAAACTTTGAAAAGGGTATTCCAATAAACACGAGAATTAAATTACAACTCCAAAATTGTTCACGATCCCTGCACGCCAAGGAGTATGAAATAGAAGGGAGATACAACTGACGCGGCCCGCCCTATGATTATACATGCTTTGCAGACGGGTACTTCATTTGTATAAGAAATATTCAGAATAGGTTATTGTATACGCGGTAATTGTACATCAGACAAATATTTCTCATTCAAATGAAGTACCGTCTGCAAAGCATGTTTAATCATAAGGTAGGGCGGGCCGTGTCAGTTGTACCTCTTCTCCCTTCTATTCCATACTCCTTGCCGCAGGCGTATGCATCATATTCCAGAATAATATTTTAAATTTAAAAACAACATTTAACCGATGTTGACTAAAATTCTGAAAAAAAACGGAAAACCACATTTGCACATCGGATCTTTTTTAATTTCTTCATGTCATTTCCATATTTATTGGGACACCCTGCATTTGTTTAGGATAAATATAGCGATTGAGTTGATCAAGGAATCCTCTAAAGCAATTTCCGGAATAATTTCCAGTCTTTTCTTCCCTGTCATACCATTCCTTCTACAGCTTCTAGGAAACTTTCAACAAAAAAATTAAGGGGAGTGATTGCTATACGTTAAAGAGGCTGAACGCGAGCACTCCATTTAGTAAAGTAAAGATATTAATTATTAAATAAATTTAAGACTTTCGAATGCCTCGAAAATTATATATTTTAAACCTAGGAAAATACTGTAGGACCCATAAAAAAACTTTTGAAGGGAGTGATTTCTATACTTTAAAGAGGATGTAGCTGGAGGCTGAACACAAGCCATTCCCTAAATAATTTTTTTAACATTATACATTAAATAGAGACTTTCGAATGCCTTGAAAAATATATATTCTAAACCCGGAAAATAATGTAAGAACCATAAGAATGTGGAATAGAAAGACGACATTTGAGGAATTTTATGTGTATTTGATTTGATTTTGTGCAAAACTTTTTCATGGAACATGAAACTGAACTTATTGAATGAAATGGGTCTGCGTACACTGTACAGTGTACAATTGCTACTGAACCGTGTACAATTGCTACTGTACAGTGTACAATTGCTACTGTACAGTGTACAATCTAAAATTAGGTTGACAAACAAACGCAGCAAATTATATCAAAAATCAAGACGACATTCAAGTCGTCCTGCATACTGTCATGTTTCGTGGGACACCCTGTATTATCACTCAAATATAGATAAAATACTTTGAAAAATTGTAAAATATCATAAAAGTCAGTTTTTATTTCAATACTAAAAATTGAATATATTTTCGGTTGTAAAAATTTATTGAAAGAGATTTGGTTCAGTTGTTGCATATTTCTGCACTATTGCAGCTTTCCTAGCTTCTACAGGGGAACAACAGTTTGTTGTTGCTCAACAGTGCACAGGTGATTTGGTTCAGCTGTTCTACAGAGGTCCCAAGAAAGAAAGTATATTTTTTATTGTAGGACAGTCATACGATTATTGATAAAAGGAATTAAGTCTTTGTCGCAAACTCTGATTTTCTAATTCTTATATCTTTGCAACCCTTTTATCTATAAATCATGATTATATTGGATAACATAATCTAAATATCAAATGTTTTCAACATTAGTTTGCAAAGATATAGGTATTAGAGAATTTGAGTTTGACTCAAATCCTTTGGGGAAATTTTTATTTACAGTTTGTTAAATACTGGAATAATAAATATTATTTTTTTCAAGTTATTTTTAAAAATAAAGGATTACCCACAGGATAAGACTTTAATAAAGTTTTAAGTTTAAAATGTCAAAGGGTTTACATCATCAGGTTCCAAATATATAGGGTTTAGAACTTGTTGTGACAAAGACTTAATTTCTTTGGACCATTGGATTTAATAGTTTGCTTGATAAAAAATCTTTAAAGGAATATTAAATAATCTGATATCTGATATCTGATATCTGCAGGGTACTAGGAATCTAAGAGAAAATACATTCCGTACAGTCTTCACTGAAATCTGATCATTTGTTTAAAACCCCTTTTGACCAACCAATTAAATAAAATATCAAGAACCCGGTTTTCGGATGTTGTGAAAACAATGCATGCTCTATTTGCCCCGTGAAAATATATGAAAAATAAAAAGACTATTATGGATGCTTTTCAAGTTTTTTCATCTCAAAGGAATTGAGTCTTTGCCACAAACTCTGAATTTATAATCCCTATAGCTCTGAAACCCAATGTCGTAAATCTTTGATGTTTCAAGCTTAATTATATCATTTGATCATAGTTTGAACTATCTAAGGTCTACGACATTGGAATCCAAAGATATAGGGTTTAGAAAAGCAGAGTTTGTGGCAAAGACTCAATTCCTTTATTTATCTATACAATGTTTGCAAAGCATTGCACTGCAGGCAGGCTAAAACAGAAATCTGTTTCTCACATAAATAAATAAATAAAAAAATTGTAATACGCAATTCATGATAATTTTAATAAACTTATTTTATTGTAATATTTTAATCTATACGTATATTCTGAATAAACATTTTATCTTACCAAATAAAATGTTTGATTAAGATCCAGGTTGTATAATTATTAATTATATAATTAATTTATTATTAATTATAGATTAAGATCAAGGTTGTATAATTTAAGTCAGGTTACTCTTGATGCGCTCCAATGTCGTCTCCTTAGATAGATAGATAAAAACCTCATATGACGTCACTCTCGCCTCTAAAATCAGTGACGTCATATAAGGTGTTTATCAATCTATCTGAGGAGACGACATTTTCCGTACTTTGGAGCGCATCGAGAGTAAACAAACTTATTATAAAGCCTTGTTTAAGAGGGTCCAACAGATTTTTGGTTTTTACCAAACCAAATTAAAATTGCTGAGCTTTTATTTTTATTTCTTTTTTGAAAAGAAACTTTGTATTTTTCAACATTTATCTTATCATTCATTGTAAACCTTCAGATATTCACATTCAATATTTTAATCATATTTTAATATTTAGAGACTAACCAGTATTTACAACTGTACAACCTGTTTGGTCTGTTTTGGGGTTTATTCTTTGTGTCAGCTCTTGGAGAAATGGTTTTAGCAGGTAACAGCATTTTAGAAATAGAAGTAAATAGAAAAACTATTTTAATACAAATAAAAAACTAAAAATTATAAATGACTTTTTATAATTTAAATCTATTTATCGCATATTTTTGGGATTCAGGCTTTTTTAAACTTAATAAATATACTGTCAATTGTCATGATCATTAAATTTTTAATTTTTTTTGAAATATTTATGATTTTTTTATAATTTTCGTGAACACTTCCTCTAAACTAGGCTGTTTTTCGTCCTGGTACTGGGCTTTTAATAAAAGTAAAGATGTTCCTAGTTTCCCCATCATCTCCAGTTTCTACAGAGCATTCAGGTAGGGCTGGGCACTTTACAGGTAGGGTTGGGCACTTTCAGGTAGAGCTGGGCACTTTCAGGTAGAGCTGGGCACTTTCAGGTAGGGCTGGGCACTTTTATGTAGAACTGGGCACTTTCACACTTTTTTCAAACTGTTCTTTAACCGTTGACTATAACCGGTCAAAACCCCTAGTTGCACCTAATGGGAAAGGGACAATGTTTATTAACCCCCAGGACAATTTCCCGGTATTATGGTGATATCATTTTCAAAAATTGTAAAATTAATTTTTACTTTGACCGTCCATTTTGCCACACAAAAAATTCCGCCATTTTGACGTGTTTTTAATACAAACAAACAGACATGACGAGCATTATACAAGTAAAATATATAGATGTACCTAATAAATATTTTTTTAGATATCATTTGGGCTCATTAGCTTTCGGTTCCTTGATTATTGCAATACTAAGAATGATCAGGTGAAAAATTAGTTTTAAGTAAAAAAAATAAAGTAAGAAAAACTATAATTTTGTTTATTTAGAAAATTAGAACCAATAATTGTAAAATAACGAAATTATTACAGCATGAAAACTATTTTGTGGAACTTATTACGTTGAAAATTTGAGACTGTGAAGAAATCTTTATCATCGGGGTAGCATCGGAGGAGCATGGGATTACCGTTGGAGGACCATCGGAGTAATATCGGAGTAATATCGAGTAATATCGGAGTAATATCGGAGTAATATCGGAGTATTATCGGGGTACCATCAAAGTAACTTCAAAGTACCATCAGAGTACCATCAGAGTACCATCGAAGTGCCGTCGAAGTACCGTCAGAGTACCATCGGAGTACCACCGGAGTACCATCGGAGTACCGTCGGAGTGCCGTTGGAGTACCATTGGATTACCGTCGGAGTACCATCGGAGTACCACCGTAGTAACATCGGAGTACCACCGGAGTACCATCGAAGTACCATCGGAGTACCGTTGGAGTACCATTGGAGTACCATCGGAGTACTTTCGGAGTACTTTCGGAGTAATATCGAAGAACCATAGGATTAATATCGGAGTACCATGGAGTATCATCGGAGACCACTTTTGATTGATCTGAAACTCTCATGTTATCAATAAATAATGTTCTCCGATAAAATTAAGTTTCCGATAAAATGAAGGAGGTGTCCGAAGAAATACGATTATGCGTTCTACATATTTGAAATAAAAGTTTCCGTTCATACTCATGATCATAATTTCTTCCTAAAATCTAAACGTTGTCAAAAAAAATATTTTAATAGAATTTTTTTTTTATTTCAGGCTAGCAATACAATATGTTGAGGAGAAGATTAAGGAGAAAGGACTGGATAATCCAGCGACTAAGGTGTTTTAAACGTGTCATCCTGTTTGTTAACCCTACATATATTAACCCCGAAAATTTGTGGCTGATTAAAAAAAAACCTTTCAGTACGAAGTGCCCTAAAAAATGCATAAAACAGCAAATAGAAAACAATTAAAATAATAGTAGTTTATCAAGGAATTGTGTAGAAAAAAATGAAAGGGGGTAAAGGCGGAAACCTAAGCACTTTAAGAGTTGATTGAGACCAAACGAGGTTATGGTGTATAGAATGATTATGTACGCTAATCCTTTACTAATTGTATAGGCCATCAACTATACCGTCAGCGTACTGCATATTTGATTATTATAAGATTCTGGCCTAACCTAAAGTATATCATTATTAGTAAACAGTTGTAAGTGTACTGTAAAGCTAAATGAGAACACAGATAGAGAACTACCATCCCCCCTGATTGAGACCTATAAAAGTTCTATCTGATGTTCCTGTCTCGAGAACAGGATATAAAACTGTGATAAAGCTATAAAACTTATGTATATGCGATTTGGTTTAAGTTTTAAACAGATCATATCAGCAAATAGCGACCAATTTGAAAACCCCGACAGGAACATCAGATAGAACTGTTAAAGGTCTCGATAAACTCCTAAAGTGCTCAGGTTTCGGCCTATACAACCCTTTCAATTTTCCTTAACAGTCCCCTTAGGCAAAACTATTTTTTTCGTTCATCTTTATTTGAGAAAAATTATAATTTTTTCAGGTCATTCTCTGCCTTTGCAAATGTTGCTTCTGGTGTTTAGGAAAATAATCTTGAAAGAAAAACAAGATTTGCTGAAATGTTTGCCCATTTCAGCATATTGCAAAGAGATACTTTTGCGCGCAGAAGTTGCTAATTTTTTTCTTGCAATAGCGTAAACCGGGTTTTTTTATTGACGCGGAAACCCTATAGCTCCAGAGAAATATATGCCTGAGACAATCTTTTCTGCCAGTATCTTTGGTATAAGGGGGAGGGGGCGGTGAACAAATTGCGCTAATCCATTTAAAATCTATCCAATGGAATTTCTTATCTTTCACATGCAAAAATTACATTTTAAGATTGTTGAGTTTAGAAAAATTTATGAAGTTTTTAAACAGAAATGCGTACATTATTACAGGTAAAACATTTTTTAGTTCCATTTTAATGAAGACGAGATTATTTGTAATATTTTTTTTCAGCTTCTTATGGATATAATTTCTGCAAATCTGCAAAGGTTACAGTTAGAAATTTACATTACATCTTATTATTTTTATTATTATTACTATTATTATTATTATTATTATTATTATTATTATTATTATTATTATTATTATTATTATTATTATTATTATTATTATTATTATTATGATTATTNTACGGCAACTATATACGAATGACTCGAAAAATAATCGATGACAAATGGTTGTAATATCTGAATAATTTGTTTGGAATTAAATTGATTTTTTACGATCAGATTTGAATATTGCAACTTTCTGAATTTGTATGAACGCTACGTTCTTCAGCATAAGGCGTTTTTAACAATTTTCTCCTTATAGACGCAACAGATAGAAGTAACATTAGAAGTGATCAAAAGCGATTATTTTTCGCCGTAAGGGCATACTCCCTTTCATTTTTTGCGAACACTCCCTTTAAGTATATGGAATGCAAGGAGAGAACACACATTTTTTTCTTTTACTTTAAAATTTCAAGCGGAAAAAGTATATTTTCTGGAGGAGCCTCTCCGTAATCACCCCCCTTCCTCCCCCCAACCCACGTGCTGTATACTCCCCTGGTATTGCCATTCTATAATTATATTTAATGAAAGTAAATGATGATGCAGGGTGGACAATTGGCGTGAAATATCATTTTTGTTGCAGTTCTTTGTCAACAATTGTAACAATAAACAGAAAAATATAATTTTGATTCTTTACGAAGAAATAGATATCAAGATATGTATAAAATATCCGTTATAAATACGGAGCATTTTGCAGAAGATCAATAAAGTAATGATAAGGGTACCCCTATCGTATTATTTTAGAAATTTGTGTAATTTTAGATCAAATTCTGATAACATCTATACTTTTGCGCAATTCTATGCAAAACTGTTGAATTATTTGTTTTATTTTCCAGGTAACTGATTTCTTGTTACTTCTTGGTAAACTGGTGGTTACAGGCTCCCTGGCTGTTCTATCATTTTATATTTTCTCAGGTTTAATGTTCATAACATTTATTCATTTTTGTCATCTATCCAAGGGACTGTAGTCGTAATCTATTTCTATTTAATTCTATTTATTTCTATTTTCTTCTTTCTATTTATATATATTTCTTTCTATTTCTATCTATTTCTTTCTATTTCTATCGATCTCTATCTATTTCTATATTTTTCTTTCTATTTCTAACTATTTCTTTCTATTTCAATTTATCTTTATTTACTTCTATATATTTCTTTCTATTTTATCTATTTCTATCTATTTCTATCTATTTCTATGTATTTCTATCTATTTCTATCTATTTCTTTCAATTTCTATCTATTTCCATCTACTTCTTTCTATTTCTATTTTGTTTATTTCATTCTATTCCTATCTATTTCTTTCTTTTTCTATCTATTTCTATCTATTTCTATCTGTTTCTATTTATTTCTATCTATTTCTATCTATTTCTTTCAATTTCTATCTATTTCCATCTACTTCTTTCTATTTCTATTTTATTTATTTCATTCTATTCCTATCTATTTCTTTCTTTTTCTATCTATTTCTATCTATTTCTATCTGTTTCTATTTATTTCTATCTATTTCTATCTATTTCTTTCAATTTCTATCTATTTCCATCTACTTCTTTCTATT